AACATCGAAGCACAAAGTGATTACGAATTGATATTTTAGGGATTTTATAACGACTGGGAGGTTTTTATTTGAGATGTAATTTTGAAGCACCTGTTCTACCGGATTAGCCACTGAGAAGACCGGTTCGGAAGTCGCCGGCTCGATTTCCATCTAGCAATCGCCCCGATTTGTAAGTCCATTGACCCAAATCTTTCTTCAGATCATGCCCATCAGCTAACTTTGGTGGTTTGATTAGAGTGTCAAACATATGCTACGTATTTTACCTAAAAGACCACAGTATGAAGAAACTGTCCTAAAGGAATGAGTGCTGTACAAAAGTTGTTCCTATGGGATTACTGTAAGGAATCTTAAGCCACTTAGTTACCTAGGTGTTACCACCACAAGAGCCTATCAGCAATCAATTGATGGAAGATTATAAACATTGCAATCCAAGTTCAACAAATAATCTCAACGCCTAGTCTTGAATAGCAAGCTAACCATATGGAAATCCAGAAGAAGCATGAGAAGTGCGATGCCTTTCTCTAGAGCGGGCATAGCTCACTTTTGATACTTTGGCACTCGATAGCACAATGGTAGCCATTGCTAGTGTTCTTCTAAGTAATTCAATGTCTAACCATATGACTAGTAAAGAAGAGATGTTTGTTATTTCTTATTCACAGGGTGGATCGATATGACCTTCCAGCGATACTTGCCTCCATGTTTCGACAGAGTGTCCCATGCACGAGGATTTGCAAAAAATCTGATTTAATATAATCAGAACAGGGGCAAGAAGGCCTTGCCATGCTTTCAGTTCATTAGCCGGAAATACGTTTTCCAGGATGAAGTCATAGCGGTCACTGTAAAACTGGGCAGACGGAAAGCCTTTATTCAACATAGCCTAGGCATATAGATCCTCAATAAGCTATAACAGGAGCTTAATAACATGTATGTATAAGGTCCTTCGCCATTATCTTACCTAATCATAACCTAAGGTTCTCTCCCGAAGGCGTTTTACAGAAATTGGAGTTCGATAGCGCCAAATTTAAAAACGATGATCGGTACTGACTCGGCTGTTGATGATACCGTTCTCAAAACACCACGGCGGAAATAACGCTACCTCAATGTCTTAAGCCAAATCACTAAGAAATTTGATTCTACCCCATTATGACAGCGGTTGTGAAGAATGAAAAACGAATCCTTGAGTGAGAGGAATCATCTGGCAACAGAAGCTGCATTTAAACACGGCACAAATTCAAATGGAAACTTCACTGCAGGTTTCTCAAACTAATCAGCGAACAAGCCACGAATGAGCGACACACGTGACGGACGAAAAAAATTTTGTGAAATCGATGTTATTACTTGCAAACCGTGTAGAGCAGTGATCGAGAGCGCCCTGCAATACACATGGGATCGGTCTTCGCGCCTATGCTCCACAAAACCTTCAATCACTCCGGGATCGGCAAATTGGTACCTGACTTGTCTGGGAGGATAGCAGCACTGGCTCGCTACATTGGCAGGCCAGTCGCTGTAAAGCCCAAACAAGCATTCAATCATCTCCAAACGATGCTTGATGAAGTCGAATGCATGGCGCATCCCTCAGAGATTGATCAACGCCGAGAGCTTTATCCTTCATCGTTTGATGAAGCACACCATCACAATGATTACTTGTTTTTTCCAGTATGTTCAAGAGGCCAAACTCCTAAAATGCGGACGAAGAAAAATCGTAGATAAGCTATTTCGCATAAAAATATGTGCTGTTATTTCCTTCGCTGTTTGAAACCTTTATTATGCGGTTGGTGACTAATATTAGCCATTTGATAAATAATGGTCTCGAATTACCACTAAATCTTCTTCAACTCCTTGTTCTTCAGTGAAGTTCTCAGTAGTCGCGAAAACTTGGCATATATAGCGGCTTAAGGGAGAGGGTAGTGTAGTGGTAGTGATGTCGCTCACTACGAAGAATGCTCAACCAACCAAGGCGCCGGCTCGTGCCGTCAACGAGCCCGCCAAACCTCTTATCCTTTCTCTCGGACAAGCACAGTTCTTTCAATCCAAGTCAGAATGCCCTAGAATGGCTATCCCAGGTTTCACACAGAATCCACTCTACAACCATTTAACGACATTCATAACGATACCGAAAATCTTCAAGCAGCAGCTGAGCCCAGACGCAAAGAAGTCGAAGACGTTCGTGGATGATGGGTGCGAAGAAACTGAACCGAATGCAGGAATTGCTGGAAATCGCATAGTTAATGCTCAGACGGGTCGTCCACAAAAACAGCGCAGCAATGTTTTGAATATTTGAAAAAAAAAAAGAAATAAACATGACTTTTGTTTAAACTCAGCATGAATGACCAATAGGTTGCTTCACTGATGATCTTATTTCAGCTCCTCATCAGCTTTTTTTATTGCGTTTAATATTCCCACTTCCTCCACAGCTTTGAAAACGCAGTGATTCGACTAACACTGTTCGGTATACCATAAGAACGAAGTGGAAATTATTTAATCTAAGGCAAGAAACTTGTTTACTTCTTTATTTTCTGCCTACTACCACTTTCTACGGCAGGGTTTAATGCGAAATACAACCACAACTATGCTGAGATATTTGCAAAACTCCGAACCGTAGGTGTCTCCGGTAGGGAACGAACCCGCTATTACCCTTTCCGGGGGCTAACGCGTTTACCACCACACCATGCGGGTCCTTTCTTTCACCTGTTTCTCAGCTTCTCTTTCTTCTGTCTCTTCTAGCAGACACCTGCGTGCCGGAGTTTTGCAAATGTCTCAATATCGCTGTGGTTGTATTTCGCAAGCAACTTGATCGAAAAGCTGATAAGCGATAACCAGATGGCACTTCACGTAGCAATTCCCACGACCTACGACCAATTCCTTTTAACTTTGGCATTGATTGATAATTCGATGTTTTTCTTCAATAAGCTGACACGAGGTTGTTATTATAGGATTTGTTAGGGTACAATAGCTGACGTTTCGGCAGTTTCGCGTTCTTCAGAGCCGTTTATTTGTTGTAAGTATTTAAGTTACTTGATGGATAGCAGCCGCACAGGGTTACATGGGCGATAACGTTATTGTATCTTAATAAGTCCTATAATAACAATCTCATGTCTGCTTATTGAAGAAAAACATCGGATAACCAGATGTTCTACAACTGCGCAAGTGAAGTTCCAAAATGATATACTGTTTCCATGAATAATATGGGGTGCGGTCCCTGGGTTTGAGCATGTCCGTCTCATTGTCGATCCCTCAGGGATCGTCGTGAGTAGTTTACCACAACCTCTTGTTTCCTTAAGGTGCATTGATCGGCATGCAATGACTGTTAAGTGATGGAGATTCAGATTACGGAACACTCTCGATGGGTGATGTCGATTGTTTACCGGTTGGCAGCCTTTTTCCCGAGGTCCTAGGATGACTGCACTTCGACGTTTGCAAGTGTCACCAACAGAACCCGCCAACCGCTCTGTGTAAGTGTTATGGTACCGTACAAATGGCTAGGTTTCCACTAGGACTTTGGTAACTCCAAATCCTGCTTTCCTCTTTGATGATCTCTCAGCTGGAATTTTCTTTTCGGGCTGGGATTCACTACATGGGCAAGGGAACCCATGTTACGCACCACTTTCAACAATCACCTTTTTCTTAACTCTCAGTGCTGTACTTTCCTAGCTGCAATGTGCATCTCTCATGAAGACCTTTGTCACCTAAGTACCTGTTTTTCTCCAACGTCCAATGTACAGCTTAAGAAGTTTTTTTTTTTCAAACAAGGCACTCTTCTCTATCACGAGCGCTTCTTTGAAGTACTTCGTTCTCAGCAAACCTCAAGAACAGCTTTCTATTAACCTCGGTATTGACCAGTAATGGCAGTTTATTGTGCGAATGGAGTTTATGTTCCCTTTCTGTTACGGTTATAAAAGTGCGCGCGACTGAGTAGATTGCTTGGCAATTTGACTTTCCACTTCTTGAAGAAGGCGAAACCAGAGAGACGTCAGCCATTGTGAATAAATTGTACAAATAACCACGCGTCTGCTGAACAAAAAAAACAGTGCATTTCATCGTTATGCCTAAAACAATTGGTAAATGTAACTCTGTAAGTTAAGGATTCATACGGTGTGTTGGTGAACGCCCTTGCCTCAGCAAAGGGTAATAAGGTGTTCGGTCCACACCGCCGCAAACACAGACAGTCCAGAGTTTCGCAGATATGCCTGCACCGTTATAGTCATGTGGTAAGTGTATACAAGGAACCTTTACACTGCGCCATACAACAGATTATGGAAATTACTCGTTCGTTTCCTTCATGTCTCACATAACTGTACATACAGAGAGCTTAAATATTACAATAATTAGTGATAAGTATGGTAACCGAGGGAGGGGAGAGGGGGAAATCAGTTCGATGACGACGCAGCCCACCATCAAGCAAGATGCCGATTCGACCCACTGCCCCAATCGACATGGACACTTCCCAGTCCCTCTCTCTCCAAGATTGCAAGGAGAATCGACTCGACCAGCACGAAACTCAAGGGGAAGACGAAATCCTCAAGCGGCAGCAGCTCAAACAACATGCGAAATGTCCTAACACCTTTGTGGACGATGAATTCGACGGAAACGAATTGAATGTAAGTGCTGAGAGTCGCAGAATGGGTCAAGTAAAAGTAGAAATAAATAACCACGTCGACTACAAATACCTTGATTCGGAATTCATTAAAACGAAGCACCAATAATAGCGATAATTTTAAGCTGGCAAAGCTACAATAATTCAAACGGTCGAATCTGTACAACAACACTATAACATTAAAATACACACGTATTTTCAAAATTCAACCAAAAAAAAGCATGAACCAATCAACACTGTTTGTTATGAAAACTTTCAACAGTTATAGCACACATGTCTTATAAATGATAACAACAAACTCTCTTCAAAAATAACAGATTAATTGTAGCCTGAAGGATAAAAAAGTATGAAAACATAAAAAAACGATAAACCGTTAGTTGCACCACGATAGTTTCCTTTTAAATAATCAATTCATGTCCTTATATCTACTGAAAAACGTGGCTCGCACTCGCTCTTGATGAGATGCCTCGGCGCAATGTAGTAGCCTAGATCCAGCCGAACCCAAACCAGCTCCCTCAACCCGCCTTTGTGTTTCTATTGGGTTAAGAATTCCTAAAAGCAACGTTCTTCAGGAACACCTACATCAACGGTACTCGCTTCTAGTTCATAAACCTGTTCAACCTCTAAGATGTTATTCATCAATCGAACAGTCCATCTCTTCGTACTCAGACAAATAGTTCCAGGTATGTTCATAAATAATAGAGTATCGAAGTATTCATCAAGAGTTCTCCGTGACTTATTCCATAGGGTAACTCCACACTTATAGTCACGAAAAATTTGCAAACAAAACAAGAGATTCTGCTGGATTCCCAAATCGCAAAATGCTCGCAGCTTTGACAAATCTACCGTTCTAAGCATCGTTTGTAACATGTTATAAAAAAAATAAACGCTAACCTTGCCCATTTCGACCAACACCTTGACCTTCTCGCCATCCCATTCCTTTCAGCAATCGACTCCCAATATTATCGTCTCCTAATGGTCGTAAAGATGCTGCTTCCGATTCCTTTCTCAGGGCCTCTTCACTACGGCAACCAAAATCGTCTCGAGTGTAGTCCGAAACTGAAGTTAGGATGTGGGAGTCCTTCACTGATGCAGAATCACCTATATCTACCATTACACTTAACCTACCACCAGGGTCCAAGCCAAAAGCCTGACGCCTTTCCTTCGCCCTATCTCTGTAGACGACTTTCTGCTCTACAGAAGGCTCACTGGGAGGCGGTAACGTTTGCTGGACATCAACATTTCCTTCCATCATCGCTGTTACGTATTGACGGCCCCATTCAACACTCTTGTCTTCCAAATTTTTCTAAATGCACGACAATTTAGGAGATGTTTACAAACTTCGGAAAGAAGACCGATATTTCTGCTTCAAAAAATAAAATAGATAATAACAAGATAATTACTTGCAAACGTAAAGTCTATAAAATTATGTCAGTTTCCAAACCAGTACAGTTCAAATGCCTTACATTTAAAAAGGAGTGAACTTACCTTATGTAATTCGCTCTTCTCAACATGCTTACGCAGTACGTCCACACTAGGAAACGCCCTTTTACAGAGCAAGCACATCTTTTTTCCCTCATCAACCAAAGCCCTTTCCATCATCTCACGATGCTCTTGAGCAGTTGGTAAATGGCGGCGTGGAGGGGCAGAAGCATCTGCAAACGGAAAGGGCTTTCACAAACGGCAACTAACCAGAAATTTTATACAAGCGGTAATAACAACGAAGTAATTTCCGATATAGTTGTGCCTGTAGCTGGAAAATTCAAGACGATGAGAAACGTTTTCTATAATCCCAGCTGAATATTAACTTCAACCAATAACAATGAGTGAAGCTCTAAGAAAAAACCCTATTAGAAATAACACTATCAACTCACCATCTGTAGAAGGATTACGCTTCTTCTCATCGCCAGATCCCTCTTCTTCGTCTGAATCGTTCACATGAGCCAAAGGGTTCTGAACAGGAACTAACAGTACCCCTTCAATAATAAGAAAAGAAACTTAAGAAACATACCTGACTTTTTTCTAACATTTTATGAGCAACATTAGCGCCAGCTCCACCTACTACCTGAGAATTGTCGAAGGCACTCTTTGTCTCCAATGGTTTCACTAGTGGCTTCAGCGATAACTGTACTTTAGTTGCTTTTTCTTGCTTCTTGGCCCATTTCAACATTTCCTTGGCGATATCGTTTGCGCTCTTCTGTACGATACATATGTACAATTATTACACAGCAAATGGATAGCCTTATAGTAAGGGAAAATAACACATCAGACATAGAATAACAACATAATTTTCTCTATATCACCAGAAAACCGAGATATCCACCAATCCGATTTCATATAACACTCATTTGCCCTGGTCTCTACTCATGTAGACCGTAATAGAGCAGTAACACGGCATTTCTACAGATTAAAGCTATATTCAGTGCTCCAGTGAACTTTTGTGAAAAAACAATGTACTGATGGATCTCCATGAGAGCTGTTAAGTCCAAGAATACGCTAGGTACAAATATGTTTAGCATAAACATGTTCACCTTAGGCTCCTCCTGTTTCTCATTGGGTTTCTTCTCCTCACTTGAATGTGCTACAACGGAAGTGGTTGTAGTATTTTCCACAGCAGTGTTTGCACTCTGAAACATCTTGCTCAAAAAAAAACTATTAGCACAAAGTGAAATTAAGTACGGAAACCTACCGTTGAGTCCTCAATCGGGAAATAGGTAGAGTATGTAGCATCCCACGTGCACCATTTTCTCGTGTCATTGTTGAAATAGTAACCCGTCTTTGGATCATAATAGAATTTCGTTTCTGGGTCCAAATAGTACCCCGAAGTTTGATCAAAGCAGAAGGTTGCAGGGTTTGGTACGACTGAAAGGATTGGCACTCCTTTGGTTCTCATGAACATTTAAAAGTCCTCTACTACCTCAATCAAGGGATAACATTTCAACATCTCATAATTTTCTTCAACGGGTATGGAAACTCAATTATGCACCTACCATACTTAGAAAACACTCCTCGTGGAGTTGGAGTCATGCCAATAATGCCGTTCACTGGTGTAGTCGCGACCACAGCATAAGGTGGTTGTTGTACTGCTGCAGCTCCCGCCTGTAATGGAGGTGGCTGCTGCACCATTGATGGATGCATATTCATTGTTGGCATCATGGCTACTTGTTGCCCCAGAGGTGGAACATTGAAACCGTGCTGTTGTTGAGCCGATGCGAGTAGTGATTGTGGCTGCCCTTGTTGCTGTTGTTGTTGTTGTTGTTGTTGTTGTTGTTGTTGCTGTTGCATGAGGATCATATGCTGAGGTGGAACGGCGACATTTGGTGGCTGTAATAATCACCTAACTTAGAAATACTGCAGAAGAAGCATTCCTAAAAGAGAGAATGTGCTTGTGTGGTATATATATATATATATATATATATATATATATATAAAACTACTGTCCCGCACCAACCCTCATGTTGTACCTTTACTCAACAGCCAAGCTCAAGCTTTTGGGGGTGCTGTTGCACACATGGCTACTAGTAAAGCAAAACCTTACCAATACGTGTCCCTGCGATTGACGTAAAGCCGCCATGGCCGCCTGGGCTACTTCGGCTCCGTGAGCTAAAAATAAGACCGCTGAAATTCTCCCTTAATTAGTGGAAACTGAAGACAATTCACGCCTCATTTAAGACACATGTGAACGTGAATATTGGTTTTAAAGTATGCGTGGATTGGTATTTTGAATAAAACGCATTAACTCCACTGCACTTTTTTCAGCTGTTTGCTTCATGCACATATTTTTACTGTACTATTGTTTTTTCATTAATGCAACTACAACGTATCACTACGGATAAAAATGGACCATTTACATGAAACCGTATTTCGGGCGAGTTTGCTCGCCTTCTAATATCCTGATACGACTCACTGCAGGCTTTCACGAGGTCACAGCAAGCAACTGTTAATGAAGAAAGTGCTATGTGTGTTTCCAGTCTGGGTACACTTTCAGGCCGTAGCCACATATCGCGTACGTTGAAAAATTAACGTAGTTCCATGCTGCTACTATCGAAAATTTGCCGCCATTGTGATTCTCGTTAAAAAAGGTAGCTTCTTCATTCAATGTAATACTTACGAAAAGCTCTGCTTGAACAAACGACTAAAAAGAGAAACCACAAAAACACTTACCATTAGGATTCAAGCCAACTGGGTTCTGCTGTGGGATGGGATTTCGACTTTGGAGCATGCTAATTTGTTGTCGTATGAGATGGGACATGGAATGGCGACAAAACGTCATTACCACTATAAAAGGTTAACTCGATGCTTTTTCTAACGTAGTAATAGCAAGTAATAAGAAAAAAAATGAACAACACCCACCATCTTTCCCTCCTATCTTGATTGGAGCCTTATACGACGAGTTCAATAACAGTGTTGCCTCGTCACTGCTCTTCATCTGAATATATGCGTACTGCTTAGAATCCGATATTTGGAGTTGAACAATAGACGTGAGTGCTGTGTACTGGCTTAAGCCCTCGAACAAAGTGGCTGTCGTACATCCTTCTGGTAGTGCTCGTAAAAGAAGCGCTAAAATTACTTTTCATACGGACTCGTTTCGACCAATTACAATAGATATTTATGTATAACGAGATAAATATCATAAATGACCGATATTTAAACTTGCACCGCACGGAGCAAAACCTACTGTCGCATGGCACCACACCGACCATATGAAGACCCTGCCTCTCAAGCTTCATTGATGCTCCTTTTTCGGTATCACATTTAAAGCAAACATCACGCTTGAAAAAATTTTGAACTGAGCACTGAAATACATCGATGTACTTCAAGTTCTAAAAAGCTCGACAAATGGAAAGAGAGGTTTGTCTAGAAAACCAAACTGAAAATGACTTCTTGCATAACCATTCCGGTGGAAAAAAATTTACTATTAACAAAGGAACATTACGTTAGCACACGTCCAATCATGATCGGTACGACGCCCACAACTTGCTGGATCGCTTTTCGCATATTCCACCTGCACTCGACGACCATCCGATAATGTTAGCCAACCCTAGACTAAGTGTCTCGTGATAAGCGTTTCGGACAACATTTGTAACAAAAATATTACTAATAAGAGATTAAAGATATTAAGATATTCTTAGGCACTTTAGATAAATCTATGTACCGTTTAAATCTATATGAATTCCGCTCTTCTCTGTTTTTCTGCACAAAGAACTACCATGACCACTTCTTAGGAAATTTTTTAGCGAAGTCGCTAAAAACTGAACTGGATAACGAAAAACTTCACCGCGCGCAAATCCGCAATAAGCATATCCTTAACTCCTACTTTTAATATGGAATTTAGAAGTAGGGAGTGCTATCGATACAAACTCTCAGACTTTTTAGCATACTCCTACCAATTTCCAAGAAGAAATGGTCAAAGTCTGTTTAGAGATCGAGCAATAAGATAGCGGTTATTCAGTAACCGAGCTTTCATTACAACACACTTTACCTGACGCCACTCAACAATCTGAAAAGCTGGGTCAGGTGATCATAAAAACTAGAGATGAGTCGACGAATAGTCGACCCAATATCATATATGGAAAAAGGTCATCGATATCAATGACAAGAGTTGGCGATTGTATGGAGCGAGACCTGGTTCTCGTCCATCCACTTGATGGCCGTCTTCACATCGGCAAAGTCGATAAAACCGAACGAACGCGAGCCACCTGCAGCGATTCAAGCATTCGCGCAGGTTATGATAAACGTCAACAAGTGTAAGGCAAACAATGAACGATATGGTATATACATCGAAGCGTGATAAACAGCAATGTACAAATGACAATACAATACTCTCTACTGTCACCAATAAAACCAAAGAGAACAGAATGGAACCACTCACGCCTTATACTCAAAAATCGGACTTTTACAATAAACTCGGATCAAATGGTAAACGTATTGTGTTCACCTCCTCGTTCCTCCTCATAATCAATCATTCCCAAGTGAAACACAATTTCAAAGAATTTCGAAATCTGTTTACATATGACTGATTCAAAATCTTGTTTTTATCCATCGAACTTAAAGGAACTAAACTAGTTCCACACCGTAAAGAGTGAGATGACAAACAAATATAGTCTACTTCTGAGTCAAACCTGAATTGAAAGAACCTGTTACCATGTTCATCGTAACTACAACGAAATAATGCTGCTGTGCGTACGGAAACACGCCTTTGTAATCTTGTTTTCGTTAATTTAAGGTCTTAAAAATTTTTTAAACTGTATGAGCTAGATAAGAGGTTGCCATAAGACGTTTCTATGTAACAAGTGACAACTGACTGAGGAGAGAGTGAAATGAACTACGTTGCCTGAATAAAACTACCGAATAGACATCAACTACCGCTTACTCGCGTATCAATCTGGAAAATCGCTACGCTTACGCTTACCATTAAGAGATATACATAAAGCTATACATACGCTGAACTTTAAAAGACTAGACCTTTAGTGGATACTTCACAAGTGAAGCGAAATCAACGTAATCTTCTACAGTGACCTGCATGAAATTATCGAGAAGCAGTGATTAAAGATCGAATGACGGTATATCGTCCGCATAACGCTTATGCTACACATAACACCTCTCACCTCGACGATTAATCACACGGATATCCTGTGGTAGGTAACCCGATGAAGCGAGCACCAACGCAATCTTTAACATACAGAGATTAAGAAACACGTGAATATGGCCGACTCGCCCTGTTTGAACGACACTCACGGCATTTCTATCAACATTGCTCGGCATATTAAGTAGAGCCAACTTGTTTACTGGTATCGCAGCATATGGTTCCCTTTCCTGTAATTGACCATTTCTTGTACTTAACATGTGAACATTGACAGCATTAGCTGTGATGCGCGTTGCTCCAATTATAATAGCATTTCTGATGGATCCACGAAAAAATCATCAACTTGGTGTCTTCTTACTCTACTGCGAGATCGCGAACGCCTCCTGCGGATTGGCGAGCGAGAGTGTGAGCGACTTCGACCTGGAAACGTAAAGGTTTATTGGATGTAGCAGTAGATGGTTTCCTGATATGGAGTTTCTCTGTTTCACTTATAACACATTGATGGTATTCCTCAATATAACCGAATACAACAACTGCAGTGATAAATACAACTACAGTGGTGCTGAGATATTTGCAAAACTTCGGACCGCAGGTGTCTGCGTTGGGATCGAACAGGATATTACCCTTAACTATAGCCTCAGCTTAATTGATTTCAATGCCGATTTGTGCTCTCCAGATCAATCCCGTTGACGGGTGATTGCTGATGGAACTAGCAGACAAAAAACTAGTTGAGAAACAGGCGAAACGAAGAACCCAAAGGACCCACACGGCATGGTGGTGAATGCGTTAGCCCCAGAGGATAATAGCATGTTCTGACCCTCACTGCATACGCTTGTGGTCCTGAGTTTTGCAAATATCTCAGCACCACCGTGATTGTATTTCACATAATACCCTCCTATGAAAAAACTGTACTTGGTAGTAAATAAAAAGCTAACATTGTAGCAACAAAATTAACACAGATGACAACACCGTAGACATTTAGTGAATGGTGCAAATTTAACACTTCTTATGAGTTCAAAAAATAGTACGTTTCTATTATTTCCTCATAACCAACACGTCAAATCCTATTCCACCAAATTTTTTTATACTTCAAAACAGAATTTTTGAATTCAGCAATCACCTCTGAGTTTATGTAATCATGAATCGATGCGAGGTTATTACGCAATATTCATTTTACCATGCAAGATACCTCGATAAGTTCTACTTTCGTGAAAGCACTAAAGAAGAATTTCATTTCTAGTATAATAAGCAAAATAATCCTCATAACATAACTTCATAATGGAATCGTAAACCAAAGCTGCGACCATGCTACATATGCATTAACTCCTCATGTCGGTTTATCAAAAGAAGAATGGTTCTCTACGTTCTGTCGTTATAACAGGACAGTGTTTTCTCAGGTTAAACTCTTTTCTCTACAAGTTATATGAACAGTGAATATTAATCTCGGGTATCGTTGTCGTCAAGCAAGAATCGTAGTCGTGGAGCAGCAAACTCAAATCGTGGAAAACATATCACTTTCATTGAAAACGTCGATAAACACAGAAGAGCACAAATCCTCAAACTTTTGTTAAACTCAAAGGCCGACCCGACCCTCTCATATGACAACCACTGGAATACAACGAAAAGAATGGAAAAATTGCCCCAACTAGTAAATCATTTGAAGTGCCAAATAAAATCAAGCAAGTTAATTTATCAGATTGGCTAATCATCGGATCGGTGGCCTTCGTGCCGTTTGGTAGAGATCTAATGAAATTTAGTCGCTCACGAATTATCTCCAGGGCTCTTTACTCCATTCTTAGAAAGCGCTGCATGTCGTATTAAAAATCGAATTGTACGCGGCAGGGAGTAATCAAGTGAAAAAGGAGTGCTATGACTTTTGAATTTCCATTATAGCGTGGCAGATAATTGACCATTTCTTCGTACTGTTAAAATACCGTTCAGCTTCACGAAGTACGCACTAATAGGAGTATATTATAAAATCAAAGATGACGTTTCTGAGATATACCAACACGTTTCTGATTACCTCCTTCATACTACCAGCAAACTCCCGAAGCCCATCACCTTGGACCAACTCTTGAGAAGTGCTGTGCAAACGACTTCAAGTATCTTAGCGGTGACCGGATGCATATTTGCTCTATACAATGAAATACAGGAGTCTATCAAAAAATCACGTCGGTCTTTCCATACTATTAGACATAGTAGCAACTAGACCAGTCCGAGGAGAGATGGTGAGCTTGGCTTCCCAGAGCAGCGCGATCGAACCAACGATCTGACCACTGCGGTACACACGCTCCAGGTAAGTAAAAAGTGGAAAGACTACGATGACGATATCAACCAACGAAGCATGGATACTAGTATACTAGTACTGGAAACTTAGACTAAGAATCTGGTGATCCATGTTAAACAGATCAAGCAGAGGGAAGACCTCCAACTAACGTCACTTATGATATATAATTACAACACCATAACTCTTAGGAAGTCGGCGAAACGTCATCTATGGAACAAAGACAACAACAACAATAAGAAAAATAAGAAAATCTATACCAATCTCGAGTCCGCTAAACAAGGGGAGTTCGTTAGAACATACTTGTTAATATTTTATCTGTTTAACCAGATTTTCCGAACTTGACGATTAAAAGCTGGTTTGAACATGCGACCACTACGACGTCAATTTTCTTCATAGCCTCCTTCGTAACATGGCTTTCGGATAGGAATCTCGAATTTCTACTCATTTCGAAGAACCACTTGGGATTGAGTTCTTCGCTATAAACCCTAATTTTAAACCGTTTATCAAACAAGACCGATCGCAACGGACCATCAGAAGAATTTTTCATTCAGGCACAAGAATTGAAATGGAACAAAAAGTATGGTAAGATGTGATCTAAGTTTATCTTAATTACCAAGTCTATCCATAAACAACAATCCGCGAGCCGCTCCTTTCAACGTTTTACATGGAAATCTCCCAGTGAAAAATATCATGACGTAGGTGATCACAATCGTAAATCGAAGGTTCTCAACAATTGCTTCGATAGCGTTACTATCCCGTCTTAACCAGTTATTAGGAATATGTCATAATTGGGCCGTTACCAAGTGTTACCAGAATAACTTACGTATAACAGCAAAACCATCGATGGCGATCTTACTTCAGAACATGATATGAAATCTAAGATATTAAGAAAATTCGCTTCCAACTACCAAGATGAGTAAACGGACAACTCCTGAACAATGAATGGAGACCACTCTTCGGTCGTTCCTTGACTAACGGTAAAAAAAACTTAAGATCGGCACTTTTGTTCACACTTTTTCTACTAAAGCTCGCATGCTGAACATGAAAAAAGGGTTTTAGTAAAAAAATGTCGTCCTATAGACTTGCTCTAGGTCTAAAAATGATTACCTAGCGCTCTTTGTTAAGGATAGGCGTTTTATAGTAAGGAAAAAATTAACAGCAAACGAAATGGCTTTTAACAAAGCGCTCCCAAGATAAACAGTATTGCGAGTAACAAAAATATATAAGTATCAGAGCCCACCTCTCGAGTAGCGTCGATCGCGACTGCGTGAACCGCTTCGTTTTCGAAATCGGCTCGGCGAATCTGCCCTCCTACGATCGCGGACATTTGGATGTTCGCCTCTGCATTTCGCATCAATTATATGAACGAAACCCGAACGACAACACAGGAAGGCCCCAATCGAGGGGAGATCCCAGGTGGGATCAAGTCCGAAGACGGATGGTTTTCAGCTTTGGACAGAACAATGGCAAACATAGGCAGCAATGGAAATGCACAATGGAATTGAGAAGTGACTTATGTTGTTAATGTACGTGTAACGGATAGGTAAGAAACGTCAAGAGGTCCGTAAGGTTTAGCAAAGAAGCGAGAGAAATCTTTTTTAGCCTTATCGTTACTAGTTCTTATTGCTCCATCTCATTCAAACAGAATTTGCATCGCAACTTTTCTTCTTTTAAATTTAACGAAAACACCTTTTGTGCACGCACCTCCTCGGGTCATTCTGATAGTATCTTGAAGAGTCTGCTGCTTCCTCAAAGTTCTGATAGTAGTCGTTGTATTGTCGTTCTCTCGAACGTTCATACTGATCTCCTTCGACCTCCGATTCTTGCTGAAATCAGCAACCATAACGTAAAATCAAAACTGATTCGTGCTATGGACTACGTTAGAGAACCTGCTATTGTCGTAGTTTACCTTAAAGCAATGATGGCTTTACCGTTTAACAACAAAATGACTTCACGGTAAGGGATGTAAAAGCATAATAGGACAACGCTTTCAGCGTTGATCAACCTGAGGGATGCGCCATGCATTCCCTTTCATTAAGCATCGTTGGAGGTGATTGGATGTATATCTAGCCTTTACAATGACTTGCGATGTCCTAACAATGTATCGAGTCCGTGCTGGTAGCTTTCCAGACCCTGGAGAGATGGAAGGCTTGGTGGGCATGGAGTGCGACCCCACGCTTATTTAAGTGCCTCCCACTACTGCGCTACATGTGCCCTTGTATAGGATGTAACACACTTTAAACCACTGATCTTCTCCGCACATCCGTTTTAAGAAGTTTACATAGATATAGTGAAGAACAGAACGTAAGTATACCTTGGTAACCTGATTTACCGCCTCGGAATCCGGGTCGTATACCCACGGCAGCATAGTTGCCACTATCTCTCTTAAACACTGATGAAAATACGACTCACATATTAGGCAGTGTTATCAACGATACGTATACATACCAATCAATACAACATAAGACAAAAGCAGTACACAAATACTATGCATACTTTCAAACAACTAATGATGAACGGTTGACGATCTCTCAAAGAAGTGGTAAAGCATGATAGTCTTCAAGCAAAGACTAGGACCTTAGTATGAACCCTCATGACAGAAGATTTCCAGGATCCGAACATAAGCGATCGGAACCGCGAAGAATAGCAATGGTAGAAATGATGGCAAAAACTATCGATTTCCAAGACTTTTCTGGAGATTTCGCATGGACCTTATCTAGGATCCAAACGAAACCCAAGGAAAAACAACTACCTGTCCTAAGAGAAGGCTAAACATAACCTAACAATGCCACGACCACCAACGGTCTCCGCAAGTTCAAGAATGAGCAAATCGATGGCGGCGTGTGCAGCTGCAGCGCGGACGCCGCCGCGACCGTGGTCGCGGCCGATAGGAGCGCGATACGCGATGAATGTTCCAGTCGTTTTTTCGGGCTGATGGTTGAGGGTTGTCTTCGAATGACTGCGGTTAGATATTAGTAATCTACATTGTGCTCGTTCATACTAACTGATTTAGTAGTAGACTTGTCATGTCAATTTCGTTCTCGGTATCTATCCCATTGCAGTTTTTATGTCAGAGTTGATCTCTTACTAGTTAAAAGTACTTGCTAGTTACTGTCGTGGTATTCATCATGTTCACTTATGAGTGTGGTTGGATGTTATGCATTTTATCTACTTTCAGTGTAGTGTTGTTTCCTTTAAAGTGGTCCAATGTGAATTCGTGTGGAAAATCAAGAACATCCGTTCGTCAACGGTAGTACTCCGTGCAGCGCTGGTTAAGTTCTCATGTACCTGCTTCAGACTCGTTGAAGAAATACCTTGGTATTCCTTGTTTTTAGCTTTTATAACTTTTTTTGTTTGATCACCCTGGTAGCCTGGTGAACTTTTCTTGTCTTCATTTTTCTGGAAAACTAGGCTTTTGGTTCATCAGAGAATTAGATATGGATTTGGTTCTATTCGCCTATCAAAGTGTCCTTTTCGATCTCCTGGCTTGTTTGTCATAAAGTAGGAAGTCAGAAGCCTTAGTACCACTTCGATCGAGTTCAACCCGTTGCATTTAGTCTTTGATCTGGCTGATCCATACCGCGCTTCGGTCCGTTGATACCAAATTGTTAAACAAAACGCTTTTTTCGCACGGCCTGGTTTTCCTGCTTGTTTCGCTACTTTCGAGGATTTAAGGAATCATGTTTACAAGTCGCTTGTTGACTAGCCAATTCATCACTTCACAGTAAAGTCTTGGAGCTAATTCCGTTTGTATGTTGGAACAAATTTGCAAATATCCACTCTATCTAGTCGTTCATTCCATGAATGAGATCTGTTTATCTTCTTAGAGTTCATATGAGATGGTGGATTATGGTTAGCTTCAGATTAGATAGTCAGCTTCAAGTGCAGAGGTGGCTCGAATACGGTTGGAGATCTTTTGTCATTCGATTATTTCAGTCTGACAATTTTTAAGTTGGTCCAAAACTGCTCAATGGTTTTGTGCTCTGGCCTGTTTTGTCTCTTCGATTGGATCGTGACTTCAACCTTAACTTTGTGACCATTATGATTTTCCAGAGCGCATGTAGCGCAGTGGTGGGGCGCCGTTCAGTGTATATAGGATCGAACCCTGCGCCCATGCCCTACCAAGCCTTCCATCCCTCAGGGGTCGGCAAATTGGTACCATACTTGTCTGGGAGGATAGCAGCACTGCCTCGTTACATCGACAGGCCACCACGAGTCGCTGTGAAGCCCAAACATGCCTTCGATCACCTCCAACGGTGCTTATTGAGCTCAAATACATGACGCATCCTTCAGGGATCGATCAGCACCGAGAGCTATATCCTTTTTTTAAAATAATTTTTCGTACTTTCTATACCAAAGCTATGGCATAACTTCCGGCTCGCTTTTCTTTCCTCGTCTTGTGTCCTTGAGCCGCGAGTGTTGATGCGAAGCACGTTGTCGAGTCCTCTTCCTTGACAACGGAGTATTAACTCTACTTCACATTGATGTGTTCACCAACAGAATTGTGTCATTCAAAGTTTTAGAAGTGACTATCTTGGATTTATTTATCATCAGCAGGAATTGATATGTGTGCATATGTACATACTTGATACTTGAATATCCCATCGTCAGTGGTTGTGTAGAAACCGAAGCATAATCTCCATTTTTCGGAAATTTGCTGGTTAAGCCATTGTGGTTCCGTGGAATCCAGAGCTCAGCATGACCAAAGTTTGCCCCAAGTCTTCAGCACCACTGGCAGTAACAGAATGCCGGACTCCTCAGCTTGGGAGACCCTGCCAGGTGATGAATCCCTCGCTGTACATCGCAGTCCGACACCCAGGAACACCTACCCAGCCACGATGAGGCGGTAAACCGTTGGGAGATATGTATATCTATGTGTACGTGTATACATATGCATGTGTATGTGTGTATATGTAAGTCTATACGTATATACGTATGTCCTCGGGTATGTATATCTACGAATACGTGTATACGTATGCATGTGTATACGTGTACATGTATATATGTATACATATGTATACATATATTCATATGTCCTCCCAACGGTTTACCGCCTCATCGTGGCTGGGAGCTGTTCCTGGGCGTCGGACTGCGATGTGCAGCGGAGGATTCATCCACTAGCAGTCTTCCAAGCTGAGGAGGAGTCCGGTGTTTCCATCAGGGAGCCTAGCTAAGAGTAAACCAATACCAGGGTCCACCACCGTTCTGGTATCAAATTAGCCGCACGGCGGCAAATCTCCCTTTGATTCACAAGAGCTGCTACTGCCTGCGGTGGTGAAGACCTGGGGCAAACTTTGGCCGTGCTGAGCTCGGGATTCCATGAACCACAGTGGCTAAGCCTGAAAATCTTCGAAAAATGGGGATTATGCTGGGGCCCACACAACCAATGAGGACGGGCCATTCAAGTATCAAGTACCAAGTATTTATACATACGTATATGCATATTCATATTTATAAACATGTAACTATTGTATATAGCTGATTTCTTTGTCTTGTGTGGATCGCTTTTTCTTATGTCATATATGTTTACATAGCTTTGTTGACTCGTTGACTGGTGTAGTTGTCACTTTCATTTTTCCCTTTTTTTCTATCATCTCCATGTCACCTTTCCTGTCTAACATCGCTTCGTATTAACCTGTCTGTGAAGAATTACCGCCTTTATTACAGTTGTATAGTGGTAGTGAATGCAAAGGAATGTGCTGAGGAATACCTACCTGGATACAATCACGGTTTATTACATATATATTTTTGTGTCAATTTTCTTCAACTCAAGTTAAAAATGCCTCGAACAAGGCGGAGGGGACGAGCCGCAAAGGCTGCTCGTCGAGGTCGAGTTGGCGGTGCTCAAGCAGTTCCAAGGCGCCACAGGAGGAAGAGGGTGTGTTTTTGTTTCTGTCTTCGAGTTCTCTCACGAGTTATTTATCCATGTGGGCTTACTCTTTTTCAGAAAGATGAAGATGCCTTAGATGTGCAAGAAAGAGCCATCAAACAGATTAGAACGGCTTGTGCTGCTAAAACGGCTGAATATGAGAAGGCTAGGTATGCTTATAAACTGATGTTCACAGTTGAGATTAGATTAACAGATTATGTTCTGATCTTGTAGACAGCCACACTCGTTCGTTATCCATCGAGGTAGTGTAGGAAAGTATGTGAAATCGTTAGTGAGGGACATTCGGCAGATTATGGATCCGTTTACTGCAAGGCACTTGAAGGCTAGTCTTATTTTGAGAAGTGTTGCATTTCACTGCCCTTTATTCTCTTGTTTTCTGTTTTTAAATGGTTGATATTCACTGTTCTCCCAACGGTTTACCCCTTCAGCGTGGCTCATTGGTGTCGGGTTTCGATGTACAGCGGGTACCCTCACCGGGCCCTCCCAAGTTGAGGAGTCCGGCGTTTCTGTTAGGAAACCCAACTAAGAGTAAAATACCAGGACCCTCCGCCGTCCTGCTATCAAAGTAGTCGCGTGATGCATATCTCCTGATCCACCGGTGCGACGGCTGCTTGTTATAGTCACGACCTTGGGCAGACTTTGGCTATACTGACCTTGGCACTCCAGGGAAACACAATAGCTAAACCAGCAAAACTTCAAAAAAGTGGAGATTTAACTGAGGTCAGCACAACCAGTGAATACGAGCTATCCATGCATCCATGTAAGCAAGATATTCACACTTGTAGTAATGAAGGCACCATTTTCCACGTGAATTTTAAATTGTTTCAGATTTTAAAGCGTAATAATATCAAGGATTTCGTTGTGCATGGAGGTGTACTTGGCGTGACCAACATGATAGTGTTAACAGCTAGCGAAATTTCGGTGCAGTTGCGAATGATGCGGTTCAACCAAGGACCCACGCTTACTTTCCGCGGTAAAGAGTTAACTGGACCTATTTTTAATCAGAGAATTTGGTCTGTTCCGAATTATTTATTCTAGCATTTTCATCCTAAATAATTTTAGTGCACGAGTATTCACTTGCGCGGCACGTATTATCAACTCAGAAACGACCGTCGGTACATCAAAAGCTCTTCGAGAAGCCACCGCTTATCATTATAAATGGGTTTAATCAAGTAAGATCGATGATTCTTAGTCTATTATTTCCCAGGCATAGCTTCTTAGTGTTGACTGTTTCTAAGTTTCAGACTGGGAAGAAACATCTTCTTCTGATCGAGACGTTCATACAGAACATGTTTCCATCAATAAATGTTGACACGGTAAATTTTACTGTTATTGTAATACGTGGCTACCCGAGAGTGCGTGTAGTCGGAGGTAGTCGGAGGCGCCCTGCAATACACGTGGAATCGATCCGCGCGCCCCAGACCCACCGGGCCCTTTATCACTTTGGAGTCGAGAAATTGGTACCAGACTTGTCTGGGAGGATAGAAGCGCTGGCTCGATATATCGGCAGGCCATAGCGAGTCATTACATTGACCAAATATGAATTCATTCACCTTTAACGATGCTAAATGAAGTCGTATGCATGGTGCGTCTCACAGGGATTGATCAATGCCGAGGGCTTTATCCTTTATCCTTTTATAGCAGTTCGTGAATATGTATATTCCTGACCGATTTTCGGAGCGTATAGATAAGGGACTTTTTAATTCTCTATTTTTAAAGCCCTTTCCGTTTCAGCTCGATCTCCGTTCTATGAAACGGTGTTTAATGGTGAACTACTGGGAAGAGGATGACTCCATTGATATTCGTCATTAGTAAGATAACTATGCCTTTTTTTGTAACAATTTTCTAGCTGTTAAAGTTCAACCCTTCAACACTTGGACATTTCAGTATTCTGTCATGAGTATGTGAAATGTAGTATTGAGTGGCTTAAACTTTAGTGCCATTCGTGTTGTCGCGTCAGGAATAAATAAGTCAGTACGAAAATTGATAATGGCTGGGAAATCTTCAAGTAAGGAGCTGCCCGATCTTTCTAAGTACAAGGATATTTCGGACTATTTATTGAAGTATGTTTGCTTAGTTTATCCTGTTTTATTCCTATTTTTCTTTTTTTTTCAGCCCTGGACATCTCAGCGATAGTGAGTATGAAGGCGAAGAGCAAGAAGTTGTTCTACCACAAAGTCTGAGTACGAGAACTGGGACGGCAAAAGGAGAGAAGAGTCATATACGGTGTGACAACATCCTTTTTTGAATGTACAGTTCACCGTGACTTAGATTAGTTACAGTGTAATTAACTGGTTCGTAGGTTGATGGAAATAGGACCGCGATTAAAGCTTGAGCTACTGAAAGTTGAGGACGGCATTGATGAAGGAGAAGTGTTGTACAACAAGAATGTTCAGAAAACCGGACCAGAACTGGTGGCACTTAAGAAGGAGGCTCCTAAGAAAAAGTGGGAAACAGTTTAGTAGTTTCTTTCAAAAACATTCCTATTGATTTGACAATTGCTCTATTAAGAAAGTTAAAAAAGCGAATGGTACAAGAAAATGAGCGTCGGGTTATTCGTCGTCTCGAAAAAGCAAAGGAAGCGAAGAAACTAGAGGTGTGCTACATGTTCATGTTTCTTTCGAGAATGAGGATCGCTTCCCTAAAATGGTGTTTTTAAATCCTTTTTTTCTTTTATAGGAACAGGAGTTAAAAGCTTACAAGGAAAAAGCTGCTCGAAACCAGGCGGCTGCCATTGGACAAGCAGAGGACATTGAGAATAGTAGGGAGAAGGACCGAGAAATAGCGCTGCTTCGTGAGAAGTATGTACATTTAATGTTGCGGTTATGATCTATAACCTATAATAACTTTTGGTTTAGTTGCCGAATTTCGTGTTTAGCATTTTATTTAACTCATTTGTCCTTTCTTAACCTAGGGAAGTGAGCAGTCTTAATGGAAGTGACGAAGTCCGAAGGCGCCCTACTTTAGCGCAGCGAAAACGGCGAATGAATATCCAGGACGAAAAGAACACAAAAATGAAAAGATTAAGAGAACAAAAAACATAATCTATTTTTTTAGGTTTCTGGTCGTTTTCTGTGGTTGTTAAGCTGTATTGTTAATTTGTTATCTTGCGGTTGTTTTCTCGTTTGTTTCCTTAAACTTGTTTTGGATTGTTATTTCTCATTACTTTTTGCTGAGTTTTCTCATGGACAACTTGTTTTTAGTAAAGTTCTTTTTCGTGGAGATTTTAACATTTTCATGCACCACGTTGGAAGCGTAATATTTCTTCACGTTGCTATTGTTCTATAACCTTCTTTCTGAAGTTGATTAGGTATGTGTGGTCTTGTGGAATCCTCCCAACGGTTTACCGCCTTATTGTGGCTGAGATGTTCGTGGGTGTTGGGGTGGGATGTACGGCGGAGGATTCGTCACGCCGACAGGGTCTCCGAAGCTGAGACAGAGTCCTGTCTTTGCGTCAGGAAGCCAAGCTAAAAGTAAATCAATACCAGGATCCGTCACCGTCGTGCTACCAAACTAGTTGTATTGTGGTAAATCTTTCTCTGGTCCACAAGTGTGGCAGCCGCCTGTGGTGGTGACGACCTTGGGTAGACTTTGACCTAGCTGACCTCGGGACTCCAGGGAACTACAACGACTAAACCAGCAAAACTCCGAAAACGTGTTGTTTTACGGGGTCCGCACGACCAGTGAGAACAGGGTATTCAAGTGTCCTTGTAAGTCGTGTGGAATGACAATGTAGAAGGACAATCTAAAAGCATTGTGATTTCTGGAATCACAGTTCTGTGCGCTTTTTCAAGTCAGGGACGGTGAAAAGAAGAAAAAGAGCAACTAATTTTGAGTTACTGTAGTGTACATAATTATGATTATGTGGAGAAGTTCCGTATAAGTAAAGGAGTCAAATGTTACTGTTGATAATATGCCATCTTCCTCTAGTATTTCTTTAAAGATGGCAGATGTATCGACCATCTACGCTTCTAGTCGTAGTATTCTTGGTACTAACAGATGTCGAGATGGACAGTTTCTCTTGCTTGGTTTACCGTTTTCGAATTTCGAGAAATTGAAGAGGAAACCGAATGAGCAACAAGTGATGGTTATCCACTGTATGTGCTATAGGGAGCGTGTGGCGCAGTGGTCGGAGGCGCCCTGCAGCAAGCACGTGGTATCAATCCGTGCTCCCATGGTCCACCAAGCCTTCCATCCTCTTGGGGTGGGCAAGTTGGTACCAGACTTGTTTGGGAGGATAGCAGCACTGGGTCGATACATCGGTAGGCCACTGCGAGTCATTGTAAAGGCCAGATATGCATTCAGTCACCTCCAAACGGTGTTTATTGAAGTTGAATGCATGGCGCATCGCTCAGGGATTGATCATCTCCGAGAGCTGTGTTTATCCTTTATGTACTGTGTTTGGTTGTGTATAGGATAGGTTGTCTGCAAACATTTTGTTATTCAGCATAAGTTGGTTTAGGATTAAGCAGCTTAACGAATATCAGCCTTAGAACCTGCCCTCTCGTCTCTTTTGAGTGATAGTGACAGATCGGCTGAAGTAAAATCGTCGTTGAAAGATGATTTATGAGAATAGTTTGTCATTGAGTCTTGTCGTTAAGTTTTTATTAACCCGTTAATAACATCGACTTTCTAGCCTATACGAGTGTATATACGAGAGCTTTCGTTTTCAATAACTATGTCGGGCGAGAAGACAATACCAAATGGTGTTAAATTTCTGTTTGGAGGATTGTCAGGGTAAGTGGTTGTGCTTGTGTTTCTAAGTATACTGGGGATTCATCCCCCACCAGCAGTCTCCCTGAGAGGGATTTCGGCGTTTCCATCAGGAAGCCCAGCTAAGAGTAAACCAGTACCAAGTTCCACCACCGTCCTGCTATCAAACTAGTGGGATAGTTCCCAAGATCGACTTTCTCTTAACCTCGGCATTGGAATATGAATGTGTCGTTTTCTTGCTCAGCAATCGCGAGGTTTTTAAACAGCATACATTTACTTCCATAAAGAAAACACAATACAATACAACGCTAGCTGACGTTTCGGCAGTATCGGCAGTAAAACAAAATCCCGTTTATGTTGCCTTTTATAAGCGATGAAGTAAGCGCAGCTATAAAACGATGCTTAAGAAGGGCAGATCTAGAGGAATCGGTAGCGATAGTTGAAATACCACCGACTACTCTACGTCGCCAATTAGTTCGCAACCGCCTGTATGACCGTCTGTGTGAAACAACAAATTGCGTAATTTGCCCTTACGGCAGGGACGGTGATTGCATGAGTTCAGGTACGGTATACCTGATCTCGTGTAACAATTGCGGAGATGAATATATTGGCGAAACGGGCAGACCTTTGTGTATCCGTATAAAAGAACACCTAGATGGCAAACGAAAACTAAGACGAAGCACCCCACTAGGCACGCATAGGATACAAAAGCATAGCGGAGACGATTTTGAAGTGAAAGTCAATACCCTTGCACAGGAGTCCAAAACACCAGCGCGAAAACTCCTTGAGGCTTTTTGGATCAATGCCAAAAGCCCTACAATGAATAGCAGGGATGAATGCCCGGAGATCATACGCGACCTGATCTCGTACGTTCGCATCGATTTTTGATGTGGGATGGTGCAGTCGTCAACCACATGCGACTATAATCAGCTGTTCTAAACTTCCTCATTGGAAGTCACGAAAAAAGCGGTGGGTTTTTCGAGAAGTTGTTGATTGTGTAATTGCCGGAGAGTTCTTCGTCTTTTTGTAAGTGTTATTGAAGCGTTTGGCCTAGTAGATTGTATATCAGTATACCCTTCCAGGCTCTGAAGAAGGCGATACTGCCGAAACGTCAGCTGGCGTTGTATTGTATTGTGTTTTCTTTATGGAAGTAAATGTATGCTGTTTAAAAACCTCGCGATTGCTGAGCAAGAAAACGACACATTCATAGTGGGATAGTGGCAAATCTACCTCTGTTCTACAAGTGCGGCGACTGCTTGTGATGACGACCTGGGGCAGACTTTGTCTAGGTTGACCTTGGAACTCCAGGGAAACACGATAGCTGAACCAGCAAGACTTCGAAGCAGTAGAAATTATGCTGGAGCCCGCAGAACCAGTGAAGACGGGCCATCCAAGTATTCAAGTGTTTTGTCAGTACACACTTTAAAATGAAACAGTATTGTTCCTGCTCCTTATCTGAAAGCATAAATTGATCGTCGTCTTTTCTTTAGCATGTGTGCCACATTATTTGTGCAGCCTCTTGATCTAGTGAAAAATAGGATGCAGTTATCTGGAACCACAGGTTAGTTCTATGCCTTCGTACAGCTTTCTTTTCTTCTTCACTTTTTGCGACATATTTTTCAATAATATTCTCTAGAGCACAGATATGAATACTATTATGTGTAGATTCACTAACAAGATCCAAACTCACTGAAGTACCAGTTTTTTTTAAACAAATTTGTAGCTCTGACGTCTTCTGCATACTTTTTGATAACTAATGTACGTGAGAGTCCGGAGATTTAATTATAAAGGAGAGATCGCAACATCAATCTAAGAGTTATGATTTCTGTTGAATGTTTTTTCATTTTCAACTAGTGCATATTATATGTTATACAGCAATGAAACTTTAACGCATGTTTTCTAAGACACTTAATTTTATTTGGAAGACCTGTGGGATAGAGTCCCATTTGTTTCACGCACGCTGCGAATCTTATGTGATTCGTACCGACCACTCTTCTACGCCTGTCCACCCTTCTATCCAGGCCTGTTAAGTTTGTGATAGACATATCTGAGAGTATAAAACAATGACGTGATGCCTCATGGGTCTTGCAAGCCGTCTAAAGGAAATATGTGTTCATCCTCCTCAACAGTGCTTAATGGGATCGAACACGTAATGTATCCATGGGTATGGGTGAACTACAAACGCTTTGTCAATTTATCATTTACCTAGCTGTTATATGTGATGTGAAGAAGAACTCGTCCACCATCTTGCTTCGGTACGAGCAGTCGTTAGTATACACTGCGATATATATATATATATATATATATATATATACGTATGTGTATATACACATATATATGTATACAGGGTATATTTCAAGCCTTTAAAGCATATCTTTTGTATCCATCCATCCCATGCCATGAATATGATTCGTCGCAACGATTGCGAAGGAAAGAACAGTCAGTTACTTGTCGATAGTTGAATTTCATGCCTCGAATCACGTCAACAGAGAACAAATTTAACATCATCACATGGACGATTCACCGAGGTGAACAAGAGGGAACCGAGGGTACTGAAGGAAATAGTGAATATCTTATGCTCTGGGACGCATTCAGCAGAGTGGTTAGAGGGTGCAGAGCAGTACACATTGGTCGACCACTGGTCCGATCTCGTTCAACGGGTTCAATAAGCCTTTCATCCCTTCTGGATCGGCTGATGTCGAGCTAATCTGGCAGGGTAGCATCGCTGACTCCATGTATCGGTAGCTCACCGCAGGTCTTTTTATAGGCGCCATACGTATTCAGTAACCGCTAACAATGTTTGGTGAAGTCGAACGCATAGCGCATCGCTCACGGATTATTCAGCACCGTGAGCTTTAACCTTTTTTCTTTATCCTGTGGTCTCCTTTGAAGAGTGTGAGGAAGGTTAATCTATAGGCTGACAGTGATGATAATGAATTCGCCTAGGAGAGGTCGAACGTAACTTCAAATGGTGATGGTCGTGTGTTTTATGGGTAAATCTAGTGAGAAGTGACTTTTATGTGTACCATTTGGAATTTACCACGTCTGGCAGTGACATTCTTTTCTGAAAAGTTGGATTTTCGTTCAAAAGCCAAGCCGCAGGGAGCAGTCCACCAGACTATTCCCGTTTTGATTTTACGGTATCACAAATATACAAATAGCCGTTCTGCTGATTGTCGAGTGACTCGAGCGGGTGGCAGTAAATCTTCCATTTCTCCCTCTTTCCTGCAGGAATGGCTTAGTGAGTTGTGCTCGCTGTAGGGACTCGTTGAGCATCAAATCCTTCTAGGGTTTTCGAGAAAAATTCTTACTATCGGGTTGGTTGTATTCTTGCAATGCGTTTGACATCTCGAGGAATCCATTCGCTAACGGCGCTTGTCTATTCGATGTCATTCATAGCGGCCCATTTTATCTTCGACAAGAGGACATGTAGAACTGCGTCTTTGATTTTTGATCAATGACATAAGTCGAAGCTTCGAGTCTATTTCTTCACTTACGTGAATCAAGATAGTCCTAGCATCGTATTTTCGACTGCGCGTTCAATAACGCTGAGTGATCTCTCATCCTGCTTACGCAGCTGCCAGGTTTCTGACGCATATGTTAAGGCAGGAAGTAGCATTGAGTCGAAAAGGTGGGCACGGAGTCGAATGTTCTTTGTTCTCTTCACTACATCTTCGATGCTCTTGAAAGCTCCCTAAACCGTTCGTTTCCTTCTGCTCAACTCTGGAACTAAGTCGTTCATCATATTGATTTCGCCACATGGTTGAACCTAACTGGAGCATTCGGAGATTCATTCCGTTGAGCCTGAATGGGGTCTACGTGACCACTCCGTTCCTTTCCTCATGAACATCATTTTTCTGAGATTTAGTCGAAGACCAATCTGTTCACAAGTGTCATAAAAGTGGGCTAGCATTCGTTTTGCCTGGCGAGCGTTTGATGCATAAGAACGATGTCACCAGAAAGCTGAAATGATGCAAATGCCGACTATCGATTTTTACTCCCATGTTGTCCCAATTCCAGCGATGGAATACCGTTCTCGAAGATGGCGGTAAATACTTGACGAGATGGTATAGCATTGCTTAACTCCTGTTTTGATGTTGCTGTTAATATCGTTATACAGTGGTGGTATTTCCGTTGTGAATTTTTTTTATAGCACAAGAAAAATCGTTATATACTGATTAGTGACGCCCTGGTTTCCATGAGTGCTTCTATTTTAGCTGATTGAGAAACTTTCCTTAAATCAGCGAAAGTGAGAGCGGTCTCGTGCACTCTTGCGATACTTCGATGAGTTTTGTTGTCCTGTAAATGTAGTTCATCGAACTGAATTCTTTCCGATACCCTGCTCGCTCACATGGCTATCCGTCGTCCAGTGTTCTATCAGTTCTGTTTAGGATGACTCGAGTGAAAAGTTTGTAGACGACAGACAGCAAACAAACTATACGTTAATTGCCGATGTCGTGGAGGTCACCCTACCTGAACAGTCACACAGTCTTTGTGGTCCTCTATTGAATGGGAACGTTAAATTCTGACAAGTAACTTGTGAAGAGTCGGGCTAGTGTGTTTATAAGGACTGGTGGAAGGTCCTTCAGGTGTTCAGATCTTATCCTGCCTGAATATAGTGTTATTCGATTTTTAGCGACGAAATACCGTATCGAATTACGGAACGGAGAACCGAAATATCCATCCTCCTTTTTTGAAGAGATCCGAATAGTAATGAATGATTTTCTACATTACCTTTTTGGAAGCTTCAACTGTTTCGTCTGAGCATCGGAGTGAAATCATCTTGGTTATGTAATTGGCGAAGCTTCTGTGGGTTTTGCTGACTCGTTTCTCATCCTCTACGGCTTCGACCATAATTGGTGCTCCTCTCTCTTTATGATTTTCTTTTATCACCAGTCTGCATGGATTAGCAAATTCGAGCGGGAGTTTGCGGTTGTCTGTGCCTCGTGCGATTCTGCGTTGGCGTATCAGCTCGAGTGTTTCTGGAGACAATTGTCGCCTCGGTGTCTTTCGAACTCTCAGCTTTCATGGCGTTAACATGAAGATGTTGAATGAACCGGTCGTATTCTTCGTCGATGTTATCTACAGCAGCATTTTCCCAACAGTCGACTGTTGAATTGAATAAGTGCAGAATTTTGGGGCAATGGCGACATGGGTTAGGCAAAACCTTCTATTTACTATAATGTGGTCTATTTCGGTATTGTACTCTCCAATGAGAGACTCCCACGTTCGACATGGAAGGTGGGGCTTCTAGAACTGCGAGTTACCATGAATGATTTTAGTTATAGTAACTATTCCCCAAATAGTTACGACTTTCTGTATTGTCATATGTTTTCTTTATTAACTGTTTAGTGCTGACTATCCTACATCTACCCTTGCAAATTGTTCAAACTGTTTCTTAGCAACCATCTCAGCACCTGCTTCGCAGCTGGATGGAAGTGAATTCTTTAGTATCTTTTTAACAACTGTTCTTCTCCGTCCGATTGTTCGGGGTTTGTGGAGGCAGATGCCAGTCGCAGACATTCCTCAGCATCTGCCTTCCCAATCTGCTTTTTGTATAAGTTGCTGCATCGCTATCCTATGTGTGTTCGGTATAAGCTATTCTATAGCTTTCTTTAACATTCTATGCAAACAGCGTGTCAGATTTGACTACCTGAGAAACATTCTAGAATCTCACTCTGAGCATTATTTCTGGTTCCTTCAGTCAAACTCTGCTCTGTACAGAGGAAATATAAAGAGCATTATTAATCACCCCAGTTAGTGTTTCGCTCAATTGGATACAGTTACCGTTCTGGATTTCGTCAGATTGTGCTCTGTGGTAATGTCAAAAAGTCCCGCATAGCCGCGCATTCTCCTTCGAGCTATTATAGTGGTTATTCTGTGCCGAAGACTAACTCGAAAGTCTGTACTCCACTAACCAACTAGCACCTTAGTCGTCATGATGAACTCAAAGAGTCGCTCATCCTGCTTGTTCCATTATAACCCGTGGGTCCCAATATGGCGTTCTGAAGACGTTCTTCTATGTCCAGTTTTAGTCTTAAATTCTCCATTGGTGACTTTAAAGAATGTATGGTCTTCTCCGTAGAACTTCTCCAATATATATAGAATGCCTTGGCTCCTTCTTCGTCATAGTTTGATATCGGTGTGTAAAAGAAGAAAATTTTCAAAACCTTTACTGGTCCACGTCTCTTCAAATGTCAACGTCTGATTCAAGTCGTTAATTCTCCTCATGAATCGATGTTATGACCAAACTCGTGTGGGCGAGAACGATAACACCGCCGACTCCTCTACTGTTGCCTGCTTTAAGAAACAGTTCTTCTCCGGTGTCATAGACGGCGTTTAATAGGTGGCTTCTTCTCCTCTCGGTTAGTCCAATGACGTCGTACCTTATCTTTCTTGTTTGCATGATCGTCTTCTACTGAGGACTCAGATGCAAGTGTGCGTACATTGTAGGTACAGATCGTTACCTTTTTCCTTCGCGAGTTAGATGGCCTAGAATGGCACTAAGATTCTAGCAGCCTTTCCGTGCTCGTTCTACGCAGTGCTACCGCATCCTGGGCCATTTCGAAGTCAATGGAATAAGGCCTATTTATTTTACTATGTGGTGTTTTTTTTTGTTTTTTTTCCACGGATCTCCCTCAAATGAGGGATCTCGAGCCGGTTAGTCGCGAGGCTACGTGGCGCGTCCCCAGGTGGCGGATAGGAGGTTAATCGCGGACCAAAAGCGACCTTTGCTTCCTTCAGACGCAGGTGGATCCAGGGGTTGGACTCCCTGTTTTTGCTGCGTTGATTTGGCACATACTTTCTATATTTGCTAGGCGTATTCATGTATGCATGTCTGGGTGCGTTCTTGCTTATGCGGATTGTATTCTACGAGTCAATTCGGCCAAAAGTCTGCAATCAAGTCACTGGGAAGTATATGGGAGGCGGTTAGGAGTCGCCTCCAACAAATAAGCTCCATGTCCAGGGAGAGCCTGGCAAGCTACCCGTGAGGATACCCAGTCCCCACGTTCAGAGTCCAGCAAGCTATGCGTGGGTATCAAAATATGCTAAACACAGTAAAGAGAACGGGCCTCATTCCCCTGACTCCGAAAGAGCCCCCAATTTCGCAGTCGCAATTCCAGAAGCCCCACCCTCAGCGCTGGACGTGCGAGTCTTCCAATGGAGAGTGCCATAACGAAATAGACCGCATCATAGTAAATAGAAGGTTTTGCCTAACCGATGTCGCTGTTGTCCCAAAATTCTACATGGGTTCAGACCACAATCTTCTTCGTGCAAGATTCTATTAAGTCCCAGAACCAAACTGGGATTTATTCAATTCATTAGTCGGCTGTTGGGAAGATGCCGTTGTCGATAACATCGACGAAGAATAAGATCGACTCATTCAACGTCTTTACGCTAGCGCCATGAAAGCTCAGTGTTCGAAAGTCACCAAGAGGCGTCTGTCTCCAGAAATACTCGAGCTGATACGCCAGCGTGGAATCGCACGAGCTGTAGGCAACCGCGAACTAACGTCAGAACATGCAAAACGATGCAGACAGGTGACAAAAGAAGATTTTAAAGAAACAAGAGCAGTAGTAATGGTTGAAGCTGCAGAGGCTGGAAAAAGCATTTGCAAAGCACACCGAAGCTTCACCAATTACAAGACCGACGTGGTCGCACTCCTGCGCATAGACGGAACGGTTACAGCGTCCAGAAAGGCAATGGAAAAAATCATTCACGAATACTACTCAGATTTCTTCGATAGCCATGTCCATCTTCCGTTATATGAAGTAGAGGATGGAAATGTTGTACCACCGGTTCTCCTCTCCGAGATCCAACATGCCATTTCGTCGGTTAAAAATCGAATAGCACCAGGTCCGGACAGGATAAAACCACAGCACCTAAAAAACCTTCTTCCAGTCCTCGTAAACACACTGACTCGGCTCTTCACACGTCACCTATCTGAATGCAAGGTTCCTGTTCAGTGGAAGACCAGCAAGACCGTGTTATTATTCAATAAGGGTGACCTGCACGATATCGGGAACTATCGCCCATTCTGCTTACTGTCTGTCGTGTACAAACTGTTCACCTGAGTCATCCTAAACAGGATTGACAGAACACTAGACGAAGAATAGCCACGTGAGCAAACAGGGTTTCGAAGAGGATTTAGTACGATGGACCACATCCACACGGTAACATGGCTCACTGAAGTATCGCGAGAGCACAAAAACCTCTCTGTCTCACTTCCATCGATCGTGAGCTGTACAAAAATTTTATAACCAAGATATCACCATTGTACAACGATATTAACATTGACGTCAAAAGAGGAGTTAAGCAGGGCGATACCATCTCGCCAAAATTATTCATCGCCACCCTCCAGAACGTCATGCGAACATTGGAATGGGATAATATGGGAGTGAAAATCCACGGTCGGCAGTTACACCATCTTCGCTTTGCTGATGACATCGCCAAACATTAGCCAAGCGGAACGTATGTTTGACCACTTTGATAAAGGCTGTGGAAATATTCGTCTTCGACTAAATCTCACAAAAACGATGTTCATGAAAAACGGATTGGTTTCGCATGCCCGATTCACGCCCAACGGAACGAATATCTCTGAATGCTCCAGTTATATATATCTAGATCGGGAAATCAACATGATGAACGACCTAGCTCCAGAGCTGAGTAGAAGAAAACGAGCGGCTTAGGGAGCTTTCAAGAGCATCGAGGATGTAGTGAAGAGAAAAAAGAACATCCGACTCTGTGCCAACCTCTTCGACTCAACGATACTTCCTGTCCTAACGTATGCGTCAGAAACCTGGTCGCTGGGTAAGCAAGTTCAAAGATCACTCAGCGTTATCGAACGCGCAGTCGGAAGGACGATGCTAGGTGTATACCATTCCACACAAGCAAGGAATGGGATCCGAAGCCTCGATTGCGTCAAAGATCAAAAATCGGCGATGCCGTTTTGTACGCCAAACAGTCGAAGATACTGTGGGCCGGACACATAATGCGTATGAATGTCAACTGGTGGACCAGAGCCGTTAGTTACTGGATTCTTCGGGATGCCAAATGTACTGCAGGAAGACCACCGACCCGATGGTCAGAGTTCTTAATAAAGTGCCTTGAAGAAAGATATGATGCTCGACGAGTCCCTAGAGCGAGCAGAACCAACTGGGCTACTCTTGCACGCGACAGGGAAAAATGGAAAATTTACTGGCCCCCGCTCGAGTCGACGATCAACAGGACTACAGGTGTTACAGGTGATGCTTTGTTTAGCATTTAATAGCCACGTGTAGCTTGTTCAACTCTGAAAAACGGGGGCTGGGTGTACTCATGAATAGTTTGCCAGTCTCAACCAAAGTAGATGAGGAGCTTATTTGTTGGAGGGTGACCCTATCTTGCTTACAGATATTTCCTAGTCAGTTGATTGCAGGCTTTCGTCCGATCTGACTCGTTGAACACAATCCGCATATGCACAAGTGCATTAATATATCACACGCAAGGTACATATTAAATCGGTGCGGCAGAAACAGAGAGTCCATTCTTTGGGTTCACGTGCGCCTTAGGAAAGCAAAAAGTCAAACTTTTCGCCCGCGATTAAGTCCTTATCTGCTACCTGGGGCGCTATGTTGCCTCGAGGCTTACCGGCATGAGGTCTCTCTATGTGGGGGCCTAGTGGATATATGTATGTACGCATATATGGATATGTATATGTGGAGTATATCTCTATAATATATGTAAGTATATGCATGTATATTGATGTTTGAGAGAAGGACAAAGCACCGAGGTTGATGTGATGGATAGGACGTGAGTCCCGGTAAGGGAAGTCACGGGAATCCCAGATCAGGTTTCGAGTTTTGCACATATTCCAGTATCGGTGTTGCTGTATATGTTTATTCTTAGATGATTAAGCTTACACGGGTTTTTCATAAATACGTAAATACTCTCCTGTTTTTGTATTAGATGTTTTTGCTTCGTATTAAGATTATTTCATCTTCAATCTTTCCATAATTTAGGAAAACGAGAGTACCGTTCAAGTGTACACGCTCTGACATCGATTATTCGTAATGAAGGTGTCATGGCTGTTTACAACGGGCTCAGTGCTGGATTGCTACGTCAAGCGACGTACACGACGACAAGATTAGGGACATACACATTCTTATTTGAGCGCTTTCGAAAGCACGTGATTCCAGCTCTATTCGGCTATAGTTACACGTATGAGTAACGTTGAATTTAGAGGAGATTCCGCACCATCTTTCGCTATGAAGGTTTCATTGGGAATGGCTGCTGGAGCAGCTGGCTCAGTCGTTGGAAATCCGGCGGAATTAGCACTTATCCGAATGACAAGTAAGTTTAGAGAGAAATTTACCATTACAGCAGTAATGACAAAATTTTTGAGCGCCATGGTCTCTCTAACATATCGTTGGCAATGTGATGCATATATGGCTCTTACGTCGCCCCACATTTTCTTTTTTTATTTCTTTATATACTCTATATATACATCTTTTTTCATTACATTGCTTTTTTTCACTTTCATCACTTTAATTTAATTTTTTCATCCTTTTTGTACCGTAAATCGTTTACAATATGTTCTAAATTGCATAGATACCTTCACGTCTGCTAATATAACGCAGGTGTGTTCGCACGGATACATATTGTATTCTGGAAGTGAATTCGGCTAAAAGTGTACAATGAAATGACCAGGAAGTACAGAGGAGGTGGTTAGGTTAGGTGTCGCATCCATCAAATAGATCTCGTGTGTACTCCTGGAGATAGCAGGTTACACTCTGTAAGTATTTTCAGCCTCCATGCAAGGTTTTGGCAAAGTAGATATGAGTTCCTATCTCCAAATTGAAGTAGTTAGGCCTCATTTCCCAAAAGATCCTACAATACGTGTAATAGCGTTTAGTAGAACGAGTACGAAGAGCCTACTAAAGCTTTAAACTGCTTAAATGTGGAAAGCCTAAGTTGATGTCTGGATGCTGTCTTGGTGATTTGATGGTGTATTTTATTATTCATATTAAGATGAATAAGTAAAGGATTTAAAATTTCAATGCCTTTTATGTTCCGGAGAAGTGTCCCTCGAAACATGTGACACTTAGAAGTTCGCGGCGTTGGCATCCCCGTCGAAGCGAATTTGGCCAAAAAGATCGATTTCTTTGAATAACGAAGAACTCGGATTGGATGCTTGCGGTTGAGAAGATGTGAATGGATGTCGGCTTTGACAATCTTCGTCGTTTACGCTGTTTCATCAGTCCGGGACATTGTAGAACAGATATTGTGTTAATAGCGTGGTCTTGTCAAGAAAATGTAGATTTACATACATAGTAAACGGATTGCACATTGGGTTAACGAACCACCCTATTTCTCCAGGAGGACAAACTGCTACCAGACATGTACGGAGGGGTTAAAAACTGTTCTGATACATCAATAGGCTATCGCATCTCATTGTATAGGCCATATTTGCATCGAGTAATGTCAAGGAGGCTTAATGGAGTTCAGTGCATAGTGCATTATAAGGGATTCGTCAACGCTGAAAGCTTTATCCTTTGCCCATTTCAAGAGAGAAAAACGGGATTCTTTCATTTGCTACAGTGAAATGCCAATACGTTAGGTAAGGTCATTCATAGAAAGCTTGTGATTTGAGAGAGAAAATATCTCAGTGGCACAGTTGTGGTCGTCATTGTGTTAAATCATTGCACTTCTCTTTGATTTCGTGTCTTTTCTTCGTCTTCGTGTTTTTTCAATAGTTTGATTTTATTATCATTCTGAGTGGACTAACAAAGTGACAATTATTGAGTCCTCTTTTGTGCAGTGTGCTTCTGTTTAGGCGATGGTCGTCTTCCTCCAGAACAACGACGAAATTATAAGAACGTGTTCGACGCACTTTTTCGGGTTGTGAAAGAGGAAGGTGCTTTAACCTTGTGGAGGGTATGTTGCAGTCTGGTAATCCTTTTTGAAAACTCTACATAGGAAATTGATTTTAGGGTTGTGGACCAACAGTGATGCGTGGTGTGGTTGTGAATGCATCGCAGTTGTCAACATATTCGCAGTCGAAGCAAGCGTTACTAGGGACGGGATATGTTAAAGATGGTGAATTTCTACGCGTTTCTTTTCTAAGTGCTTAGATGTCGTTCCAGAGTCTTTTTATAGTCCTTGGTATCCTACTAGATAATTTTAGGTATATTCTGTCACTTTTTGGCTTCCATGGTGTCTGGATTGGCCACTACGATTGCATCTATGCCTGTCGATATTGCGAAAACTAGGTAAAAATTTTCCATCATAATTGTTTTGCTAAATTTCTGCTCTTTTGATTATCGTTAATAAAAAGGATAAAGCTATCAGCGTTGATCAATTTTCGAGGGATGAACCATGAATTCAACTTCATTAGGCATCCCTTGGAGGTAATTAAATGTATATTATATCTGGCCTTTACAATAACTCACAGTGACTTACCGATGTATCGAGCCGGAGCTGCTATCCTTCTAGATAAGTCTGGTACCAATTTTCCAACCCCAGAGGGATGGAAGGCTTGGTGGGCCAGGGGCGCTGGGGTCGATCTCATGTGTATTGCAGGACGCCGCCTCTTACCACTGCCCCCACGCGCCCGATGATTCTCGTTGATTTTGAACAAGCTGCTGGTACGAGTGCAGAGAAATGCATGGGTTTTCTTGAATAGAAGTATGCTTAGTTTTGTGCGATACTGTGTTAGTTTCATTATTATATTGGCTCATTCTTACTATCTGTGGTATTTATAATAACATCCCGTTGAATATTGATTTAATCTAATGTAGTGCGTTATGTGGGAAGACTAGTTACGTTTAAAAATCCATCTTTAAGGATTCAATCGATGAAGGTGATCGATGGTAAGCCAGAGTACAAGAACGCTTTAGATGTATGGATGAAGGTAAACACTGTTGTAACTGTGCTCTCGCATTATTTTCTGATTCCTTTCAATGTTTCTTTTACTTATGGTCTCCTACTTGTTGCTTCTTTAAGTATCTCACTAAATCATTGAAGGTAATAAGAAACGAGGGCGTTTTTGCTTTGTGGAAAGGATTTACACCGTACTACATGCGTATTGGACCGCATACCGTCATTACTTTCATCTTTCTCGAGCAAATGAATGCCGCCTATTACAAACTGATCTTGGGAGTCAAAGCAAAGTCCGGACTATAGACGATTGTCTCATGTTCTGTTATCTTAGTATTAGTAGTCTAGTCAGGAAGTATGGTAGTTTTGTATCGCTCCATGTTTAATTTGTAGCAGTTGTTTGTGAAGTATCATGTGGATTGTTGATTGAGTGACTTTTTTCTAATCCGTAAAGTTGATGTGAAATGCTTCCATCGTGGACTATCTGTGAGGGCATGAGTTATAGTGCTTTATCTTTTATTACTAAATGTTCTATTGTTGTATGGGCTTTTATTTGATACTGGTATTGATTATGTTTCTTTGTCTAGAAATCTCATAAGCAGCCAGTCCTTCACTCTTCTTTGACGGTTTGTTTTGTTGACGTAGTATGAAACTTTCTGTATAGTTCCATAGTTTTGATTACAAGATTGGTACTTCCCAGATCGCATATCCCGTTATTTGCGTGTTGTCTAATTTCCTTGGTCCAAAATCATTCTAGGTGCTCTTCATGTGTTAATCTAAAGTCTTTCGATGGCCTCCATCATCAAGTTAAGCTCTCGTGGAGTACGATCACTTCATCCTGCTAATTTTCGTTCTCCTTGGCCATTTGTCAAGAAAGGTGCCGTACTTTTAAATTCAACGTGATATGGAAGTGCGGTCTACACTGCTGAGTTTCTAAGATTAATCTTTACAACTATTAACGTAGAGCTCAGTGCTCTTCGTATAATTCTGAGATTTCACTGACATAATTCTATCGATTGTTCTATGAATACGTTAATGTCATGTTTTGTAGGAGCGTATGGTCAGAGAAAAATTGGTCCTTTTAACTATGAGAAGCACAAATGGCCTGGTCAGAATCATGAGTTTCCGGAGTTATCGCCAAAGTGGCACAAAGAGAATCCGAAAGACTTACATAGGTGAGCCACGTTGGGTATTACTACCGACGGGGTGAGATCAGGCAGAAGTGTTATGGTCTTTCATAGGTGAATGTTATAAAATTTTTTTTGGATTTGAAGTAACCCATTATCGAAACCCCTACATTTGGAAAACTACTTCAACTAACAAGTCCTATACCACTAATATACTATATGTTCAGTAGAACTGACTTAAGATATCATTTAAAGTTAAATTCAACTGAGCATGGATCATGACGTCGATCTAGTCATCTAGGTAATTTCCTTGTTTGTATCCAAAGTCTTTGACTTCCTTTATAATGAGATTTCAGCATCGATATTTCTTTCAGAACTTACTAGGTCGAAAAGAAAAAGTATTGATGAGCCTTGTTGCGGACCAGTATTCATTGCTACTCATTAGATTTTTGGACGAATGGTCTTTCGAAATTGTGCGCAACGATCTCAATTCATTTTCTGGTCTCCCTATCGTCATCCATGTTGGTTGTCTCTTTCCTGATTGGGGACGTCTGCATGTTTTGTTCTGTGATTCTTAAGTCGTTTTCAGCAACTTGAAGGAAGTTTTAAAAAATTTGTCCGTCTTCTATTGTCACCGCAGTGGGGTTCTTCTGGGAATCCACTCATTTATTCCTGTCATCCATCTATCGTTATCTCCTTTTATCACATAACAAGTCTCTATTCATCTAGAAAACAGTACATGGATAGAAAAAACTTTAGATTCTTCGACTCGGACCATCGACTCGGATCATCGGATCTGAGGAAGACGAAGACTTCGAAACGTTAGCCGAAAATAAATATATTTATCAACATCGTGCAAGCTTATCAAGAAAGAATGCATTTAGATTCTTCAGTTGATGCGTCTCTGAGAGGCCCGAGCAGTAAGCTTGCTGCTGCTGCTCGTATATGTTCAACCAGTTGCAGTTCTTAGTCAGGTTTTCTTGCGGTATTGCTGTTATTCAAAGTTCTATGCTGTTCGAGGACTGGGAGAATAACACTAGCTGCTGTGGTATGAGGCTCACCGTTGCTAGAGGTGTCCTGCAATATATATTGGATCGATCGCTGATTCAGTCTCGTTTCGTAGGCTCAATAAATCTTCCGTACCTTGGCAAACTGATATCGGATTTGTCTGGATGATAGCAGCACATTCATGCAGCACAATTCAGATTCGTGAAACGGTAGGGTACCGCAAGTCCTTGTGTAGGCCAGATATGCATTCATTCACCTCTAATGACGCTTAATGAAGTCGAATGCAAATCACATCCTTCAGGAATTGATCAATACCAAGAGCTTTATCCTTTATACTTTACATGATGCATGCTTCTTCTGTCAACCAGTGTTTAGCCTTGGTTTAAGATACACCGGTGTTCAAGACGAAGGATATGTTGATCCAGTCACTGGAAAATACGTAGTGGTGCCAGAAATGCAATCAACTCTTGTTGTCCCGAATCTGGAGGGCTTTAAGTAGGTTCTTTTGTGTGATAGTCATGGTCAGTTCTTGTTTTTTCAATTATTTTTGTCGTAGTTACGGTATATTTTGAATAATAGTTGGAACCATTAGGTATTTTAGGCTAAAACCATATGTTTCGTTTCGAACTGATGTTGAAATTGAGAAACGAAGTCGAACTTATGCTGCAAAGGTGAAAATTACTACTACTGTTGATATGAATGATAAAAATCTTTCACCTTTTTTCTGATCGTTTTCTCCGTTGTGGCTGATCATTTGCACTTTTGCTTTTATCCCAGGAGGAATTAGGTAGCCTCTTTAAGGTTAAAGAGAAAGGTTCACAAGTCTTAGCAGATCTATATACTATCGAAGATGAACGTTGGCCTCCACCAAAAATGGATGCAGAAACTTTGTTTGAACTTTGTTATGGAGAACAGGTCCGACATGCGTTTAAGGTCAGAGTTGCTGAAACAGTTCTCATGTGCTTCATATTTATCCAAGCTGTTATTTTTTTGTACCCCGTTTAAGCACCATGTCGGTTTCAGCATGGGAAATATGGTCCCGTATCGAAAACTACGGAGGTGGAATCCTAATGGCTGGTGTATAGACATTTAATATCACAACGTTTAGAAATTTGAACTTTGTTGTTTAATCGAATTTTGTTATTGGAAGGAATAAAGCTTAGAATTTTTTAAATATCTAATGTATTCATTCTGGATCCTCCAGTGTATGTCTGAATGTAAGGATGTTAGTGCAGGCGTACTTTTAAGAAGCGGTTGAAAGCGGTACAATTCAGAATGTCTGCACTTTTGATACTTGCTGATGGCGCTGAAGAAATGGAGGCTGTCATAACGGCTGACGTGTTGAGAAGGGGAGGAGTTGATGTATAGTTTTATTCATACATCCATCTTTGTAAATTAAATGTCGAAAATCTCCGTTTATGGGTTTCATGGTGTTACAGGTTACTGTGGCTGGGCTGGCTGGATCTAATCCAGTAAAATGTTCACGAAAAACTGTAATCGCACCTGACTGTGCATTGGATGATGTACTTTCGAAGAAATTTGACATTGTTATCCTTCCTGGAGGACAACCGGGAAGCAATACATTAGCAGCGGTGGGCGCTGTTCTTACTAGTACGTATGTAATGGTTCCTTTTATATCTTCAGGTAGTATGATTTCTAGAGTAGTGTTGTTGGGCAAGTTCTAAAGGCGCACCATGATGCTGGCAAGTATGTAGCAGCAATTTGTGCCGCACCAATTGCACTGAAATCACATGGGATTCCGACAACTCTGATTACAAGTCATCCATCCGTGCGCAAACAACTTGAGGAGGGAGGTAAGTAGATTCTACTGGTATAAAGGAACGACTAACTTTGGGCGCGTGTGGCGCAGTGTTCGGAGGCGCCCTGCAATAGAAACGGCATCTAATCTATCCCCGCGCCCGTGGTTCACGAAGTTTTCTATCACTCCGGGTCGGCAAATTGATACCAGACTTGTCTGGGAGGATAGCAGCACTGGCCCAGCGACGAGGCCTTGGCGATGTCGGTGGGCTACCACGAATCATTTGTAAAGGCCAGGTTTGTATTCGATCACCTCCAACGATTCTTAATGAAGTCGAATGCATGGCGCATCCCTCAGAAATTGATCAAGGCGGAGAGCTTTATCTTTTATTCTTTGTATGAGCTCTGTTACAGGGGTGTGTGTAGTGCAGTATTCGGAGGTGCCCTGCAACACAAACGTGGAATCGAACCCCGCTCCCCAGGCACACCAAGCCGTCAATCTCTTCAGGTCGACAGATGAGTACCAGACTTGTCTGGGAAGATAGCAGAACTGGCTAGGTACAACTGTGGGCCACCGCGAGTCATTGTAAAGGCCGGATATACATTAAATCACCTCCAAACGATGGGTAATGAAGTTGAATGCACGGCGCATCCTTCGGTGATTGATCGGCACTGAGAACCTTTTATTTAACATTGCAGTAGGAGTCATGTCAGCCACTGCTGTTCCTTGACTTCTGCTACTAATACAATATGAAGCTAAGCCTTCTATGTTTTATGACTTTGTCAAACTATTTTTCTTATGTAATATTCTATTCTGGTGTTTTAGGGTATAAGTACAGCGAAGATCGAGTGGTAGTTGCAGATCGTATAGTGACCAGTCGTGGACCTGGCACAGCATTCGAATTCGCTCTAAAACTCGTTGAACTTCTAGTTGGAGTTGAGAAATCCAAAGAATTAGTGGCGCCTATGTTGCTAAAGTTATAGAGTGTTGCGAATGCTGTTATTAAGTAGACTATCCACAATATATATATATCTGTGCTTGGGATTTGTATATGCTCCATATTTTTAAGGCTTCCTGATTCTGAATGTTTACAGCGTAGTAGAATTCTGATGTTATTCTAACTATCACTTGAATATCAGTCAAAGTTGATGACATTACTGTTGGCGAAACGAAAGTGTCAGTAGCGTTATGTAAAAGTTCTTTTTGCTATGTGTCGGCAATAATCATACACCGAACGTACATTTGCGTAGCGATGGTACTTGTAACGTGCTGCATAAAATATGGGGATGATCAGGACTACTGGATCGACCATATAATTTTTGTTAGCCATCTGTATATGAACTATTTATTAATTTATCGCAAGCCGAAAACGGAAAAAAAAGGTGCTCAGAGTATTGGTGACAGTGAGTAAGTACTAGTGCACAACAGGCAGTGCTTATAGGTACCAGTTCATTTCTTGCTTCGATGGATTATTTTGCAGCGCAATGTTTTTGGCGTACTGTTCGTATTTAACCATAAGCTCAGCGTGATATTCTATCGGACTTTGATCAAGGAAAGTTGTACTTTACACGATTATTTTTAAAATATATTCCAAGGATGTTTACTCATAGACCCACAGAGTGTTCGTGGTAAGAAGCGTGCTGCTAAAGACGTGTATCTTGTATCATTGTTGGCGAGAGTATCACAGTTCAGAGGGTGTGCTAAGATATTTCTGTGGACAAGGACGAACACAAATTTATTGATTTCATCACGATTTATTGCTTCTTGGATATATAGCCCAAAGAGTGTAAGCTTTTAACACTCTTCATCTAGGGTTCTCGTAATAACCATAACCATTGAATCAGTGTTTTTCCTGCTGTACGTTTGACATTCAGAGGAATCCGATCGCAAATGGCTTTTGCCCACTGGTTGTCATTCAAAAGCATTACGTTTCCGGCCCACTTGGTTTTAGATATTTTGGCATGAAGGACGACGGAAGATCGTCACTCGATAACGTAGGTCGGAACTTCGGATTCTCTCTCTCACTTCAGTAATGCGAGGTACTGCTAGCATCGTCTTTTAGACCGCACGTTCGACAACGCCGAGTGGTCTCTGGTCCTGCTTACATAACGACCAGGTTTCCGACACACGTTAAGGCAGGATGAATCGTGGAGTTGCAAAGTTGGACACGCACTTCGTTACACTTTGTTCTTTTCACTACATTCTTAATGCTCTTGGAGATCCCACAGGTTGATCGCTTTCTCCAGATCATTGATGGAGCTAAGTCGTTCGCCATGTTGACTTCTCGACGTAGACTAGCGTAGCTGGAAAACTCGAAGATATTCATTCCGTAGGGCGTGAACGGGGAGTACAGAACTATTCCATGCTTCTTAAATATTGTTTTTGTTTAATTTGGTTGTAAACTAACCTTTTCACTAGCATTTTTAAAGTTGGCTGGTATTCGTTCTTCCTGGCTAATGCCTTAGCGTTATAATAACGATGTTATCAGTAGAGGTAAGATGGTGCAATTTCCGACCTTCGATGTTCACTACCACGTTTTCCATTCCAGTGTTCGCATGAGGTTCTTTAGGTACGAAGTAATTCTGGTAAGCTTTTTGTTCTCTCGTAACACTTCAATGAGTATTGTTATCGCTGTGGATGTGGTTCATTGTACTGGATTGTTTTCGAGACCCTGATTGCTCACATGGCTGTCCTTCGTCTGGTGTTCTGTTTAGGATGACTCAAGTGAAAAGTTTGCAGACGACATACAGCAAGCAGATTGCGCGATAGTTGCTAATATCGTGTAGGTCAGCATTCTTGAACAATAACACGGTCTTGCTGGTCTTCCATTGAGAAGGGACCTCGCATTTGGAGAGCTAACGAGTGAGGACTCGAGCTTGTGTGTTCACGACGACTGGCAGAAGGTTCTTCGCGTCTTATGGTCCTATCCTGTCCGGACCTGGTGCTGTTCGATTTTTCATCGACGAAATGGCATGTCGGATTTCGGAAGGGAGAACCGGTGGCACAACATATTCATGCTCCTTTATTTCATATGAGGGAAGGAGGACGTGGCTATTGAACAGATCCGAGTAGTAACATGTCTACGTAAATACGGAAGGTATGTCTCAAATCTGCCTAGCAGTAGAAAGGTATCCACCTTTGGATCCATTTGCGCCCATGGAAAGGTTAAAGTCGCTTTTGCTCCTATCCATCGTCTGGGGACGCGCCATGTGACCTCGCGATAGGCTGGAGACCACCCTGTGAGGCAGATCTCTGGATACTTTCTTTGTACTTTCAGTAAATTGTTTCGTAGCTCTTATCTCATTCATTTGCCTTCCATCTGACTAAGAAGGCCTGTGTAAAGTCCTTAAATCCTTGTACTTGCACAATTGGGAAACTAATGGTTAAGACGCACTTAGTGGTTCCTTCTCTCTTATTCTTTCTTATTATCACGTGCATCATGGACTTACTTAAACATACAATACCATGATAGGTTATTAAAGGTCTAAAGGATCAATTGTTCACATGTCATACATTAGCGATACATGCCTACTCGAATACTTGGGCGCTGGCCGTGTCTTCACCACTAGGACGAACCCCAGCAGATTTTCCTTCCTTTCTTCCTCGCACAATCGTCGTCTATCGTACAAAAATTTACAAAATATAAATGGTTTCATAAATTGAAAAAACGAATACTTTGTAGTTACTGGAATGGTAAGGTAGTAGTTTCGCTTTCTTGGTTGGTCGGAAGTTTTTCCCACAAGTTTTACTAATTCTCAAGTGAAGAATAAAACAAGCGCACTGCTGTAGATGTTAACAACAGTCTGTAACCAACATTTATAGTCATTCTAAGTAGCATTGAAATCAGTTATTGAAAAATAACTATCTGAAGCACTGTAACCCATTCTAATATTCCTCTTTGAGGCATATTCATTCTCTACTCCAACACTTATACAACAACGCTTAATTCGTTTTGCCGCGCTCACTATGAGACCCAAAGCCACTGAGTTCATTAAGAAATGATCACTATAGTCGTCTTAAGGGTCTCCCATGAAATGCGCCTCAGCATTATGTTGGTCCGGTGTTTTCGAAACAAAGGAGGAAAGAAAACGACGTAACGACGTGGAAATGTATTATTTATTGGATTTTAACAACGTATCAAATTATTGAACGCCGCTAGATGGTGACACTGACGAAAAGTTTCGCAGTGTAGATGATTCTGCAATTTCTGCAGAATTTATTGTGTATACAATAGAACACAATGAATATATATACAAAATATCGTTGCGCTGAAGAGAAAAGAAGAGAAGAGAAGAGAAATGACAAAGCGAAAAAAAAACTCCGTAAGACGCCCTTGGTGCTGCAGACGACAGTTTGGTACCGTGCGATATCGTAGGCGTGTAGATGGAGCTGTGCAAGCGCATAGCAGAACTATGGGAGTTTGTTTGTAGTGAAATGTTGATAGGAAAACGATAAAATTCCACTGGGTAACTGACTAGACATTCCTTAGTGGTGGCGAGAGATAAGTCGAAATTCATTTTAACGGCCAAGAGTAGTGTTGGAAGAGAGCATCATGTTGACTTGTGTAGGACGGACTTAGCTTGGGCGCTGTGCAGATTAATTTTATAGAATACGTTGATGTTGTGAGGGTAAGAGGGCAGCGATATAGTGAGGCAAACAGCAGAATATTGAACGATAGGATTCATAGAAGTAGGTAGACGGATCGATCATGACGGCGACCAAGTAGATGAAGAAGAGGAATAAGGGGAAGGAGAGGGAGAGGAAGAACGTATGAACGGATAAGTTAAAGATGAGAATGCCATTCATGCAGATTACACGTCGATTAGAAGAGGTTACGAGTTGGCAGCCATCAATCGTGCCTTTGCACATTCTGGACACAAAATATCGGTGCCGTCAGTGATGAAGCCCTGTAATGATGTGGTTTTCTACCGAATAGTAAACCTATGAGAAAACAAAAAAAGTAAAGAAAGATGAGATAGGAGATGAACATAGGATCGTTTCTCTCACCTTCCCTACCAGTGATGTTGTGCATTGAGCACACATGAAACAGTCATTATGCCAATGTCTGTCCTCAAACGAGATGAATTTCGCACCACCAATACCTGGAAAAATGTTAATTTAAGAAATAATACCTAGAACATTTTTCGATCCTGCTTAGAGAATCTCATCTACTTGAGATTTCTAGATTTCACATTAGATAGTACTAGCCCACTGAAAGGGGCGCGTGTGGCTCAGTGGTTGGGGGCGCCCTGCAACACACGCGTGGAATCGATCCCTACGCCCATAGTTCACCAAGCCTTCCATCGCTCTGGAATCGGCAAATTGGTAGCAAATTTGTCTGGGAGGATAGCAGCACTGGCTCGATACATCGGTAGGCCATTGCAAGTGATTGTAAATGCCAGATATGCATCCAATCACCTCCAAACGATGCTTAATGAAGGCGAATGCATGGCGCATCCCTCAGGGATTGATCAACGCTGGAAGCTTTTTATCCTTCTAGTCCGTCGAAATACATTTCCCTGCTTAGGTGGACATTATTTTCAGTACTGATAACGAAAAACGTCTAAGAACCGTTCGGTGGACCATACTCGAGTAAGGAACGAACCAGTAATGGGCTTCATACATGCACTGCAACGCTTCGCAAACAGTTCACCATAGCAGTTTGCACAATACGGCTTCTCGTCTTTACTCGTGAACCTTTGACCTGTCAAAAAGTAAATGAGGACTTGCTCGTAAATGTTTTCAGTTCAAAATTGGATGTCATAGAAGTACACCATGAACAGGTATGGTATTTCGTGAATCTTCTTACCACAAGTGGTTTTGTTAAGACAACGATGGGTAATATTCAAGTCTTGTAGGACTTCGATTTTTTGGGTACAGTAACAATTTTAGTAGTTTTAGTTAAGGATCTTCTAATACTTTTTAAATAATTCGACGAATTTCTGACATTTTCACGGGGTCTTATAAATGACATTAACCACTTACGACATAACTATAGGTGTTTGTTGAACTTACCAGCCAAAGAAACATTACAATGCGTGCAGCAGAAGCACTCACGATGCCATGGCTCATTTTTGTAAGTAACACCGCCGGTGGTGATCACCTAAATCACAACTACTCATGAATTATCTTCGCAGTGCCCTTAAGACACTTTATATTGTTTATTGTGACGATGGTAAAGGGTAGCGCAGTGGTTAGTGATGGCGTCGTAAATGAACCAGAGGCGCTAGTCCGACCTCTTCCCCGATGCTCAGCTCCAATTCGCGTGGGAGCGCCCTAAACCCTGTTATCACCAGTGTTGCAAGGAGAATCAGCTCGACCAGGCTTCTATGACATTTATAAAAAGATAACGAAATCCTCAAGCAGCAGCCGAATCAACACGCGTGTTTGAAGACCTTTGTGGGCGACGTATGCGAGGAAAACGAATCGAATGCAAGAAGTTCTGGGATACACACAGTAGATGTGACAACAAGTCAAGTAAAATGCAAAAGTAAAAGTTGTGGTGATACTCTCAACGTAGATCTAGTATGAGGAACAAAACTGCTGAAATTATACCACTTCCTCTATGAACTTAACGAACGTGACACTTTTGGAATTACACCTTTCTTTCTGTTTTAGCGACGGTAGAATAGTAGCTCGGTCGGCCTTTCAACTCGTTGCCTAGGAACGCATTCAACCACAATACAGTGTTAAACTATTTACTTGAACTCTAATGTACAACGTATTGTTCATCCAATTTCAGCAACATTCTTCTAGCTGAGTTCAAGAATTCTATTTCATAAGCCCCGTGTAAGGGTAAACCTATGTTGTGGCAAAGACTTGCGGACTAAGCGTCGCTATCTCTATCTACTCGCAAAACAATATAAAAGTGCACTATGTTTAAAAGTACGACGCTCTTTCTATGGCTTGTTTAGCCTACTTAGCCGCTTTGGTGCTCGGCAGCTACCAATGAAGTTTACTGGCGATCGCCGGTGATGTGAAAAGTCTGTACTACTAAGGACAAAATAGAACGGGAAGAAAAAGGATTCTTTTAGACTATGTACAAACGCAAAATGAAGCAACAAATACTCTTCTATCCAGATAGAAGAATTCAGGCGAAATTCGAATTTTCGGGCCTATCGATGGATTATATAATACCAGGATCCACCACCGTCCTGGTATCAAACTAGTTGCACGGTGGCAAATCTCCCTCTGATCCACAAAGGCGGCGACTACCTGTGGTGGTGGCGACATGGGGAAGATTTTGGAGAGGCTGACTCTGGGACTCCAGGCAACCACAATGGCTAAACCAGCAAAACTCCAAAAAATGGAGACTATCTTGGGACCTGCACAACCAATAAGGACAGGCCGTTCAAGTATCGAGATGAGTATATAAATAATTAAAAGGTAAAATTTGAAAGTGAGGTGAAGAAGAGCCACGTGTTGCTGCCAATGTGCTCAAGCGGAGTGAGATCGTTCATCTACACTGCACTCAGTCCTACTAATTTGTCAGTGTTACTATTCTGTGTAGGACTCTCTCCATACCTTTCTGCATTTACTACATCGTGTGGCGAATTTCTCCTCATAGCATGAACCACAATAGACATCCTCGTTTTTCGGGATGAAGGACTTCGTTCCAATCGGATTTTTGCAATGTGCACAACAGAAGCATTTATCATGCCATTGTTTTCCCTTGTACTCCATTTTCTTCATGCCTATAAAAATTGAGGTAATGAAAACAAAAACGATCGAATAGTCTATTACTATTCTTTAAATTCAAAAAGAACAACGCTAGCCTCATCTCTTCATTAGTTGGCTAGGGAGGAATAAAAAACCTTACAGACTAATTAATTGAACACTGGAACGGCTGTTCTTGATAGCTTCTCTATCCATCTAACCTAATGAAAACGCAGCCATGAAATCGATTTGTAAAAAGCCTTTCTAATTAAACGTTAAGACGGCTCATTTCCACATGTTATGCCGCTTATACTACTTTCTCCATACGTTTTAGCTTCGTGGAACCATTACCGTTTGAGGTCTTCGAGTTTGCGTTCGGGCATGGCTTGAGGAGCTATCATCTTCTTGTGGACGTAATGACTACTGACCAAGCATAGTCTTCATCTGAATGCAAAGAAGCCATGCAAAGGTATTTCGTAGCTTTACAAGAAGCAGACGCTAGCCCTTGTTGATCGGAGAGAGTTTGGGACCTGTGACTAGATTTTTTTGATGTGTCAAGGATTTCTTCGATTACAGTAGTTCTTGCAACCAACCTGTGGACCGATCAAGAATATTAAACAAGCATGATCTCAATATTATTTCAATTTGCAGAAAATTTATCGCCTAAGAATAATTATAGTATTCTTAGGCATAAACTGACACATTAAACTGATGTACAAACAGGGGATTTGTACCCGTATCTGGACACGCTGAAAGAGACCGTATAATCTCTGGGAATCTGTAAGTTTAGCAAGGAATAGATCAATTCTATCCGGAATTAAGGAATACTTTTTAGTCATGCAATAGCAAAACCTCTTCCGGAGAAAGTGGCTATGACTTCACCTTAACATAAAATTAGTAATCAACTCTAATTCCACCAGTCATTGAGTAGCCTAAGCACGCACCAAAACTCTCCACTTGGCTAACGTTCCTTAGAGCTGGACAGTAAGATTTCAACTGCTCGAGTTAGATGAATATCACAATTGTTGTAAGAGACCTGTTATTCTTACTATTTCGAGATGGGTTACCCATGTGAAATAGGTATGCTGTCATGTAGCGCATTATGGTTATCCCGGATGTGGGGCCTATTGTAGGTGGTGCTTCCGAATCACGTACTTTGAGCAGTCTGGTGAAATGATCTTTGGCCGAATCGATGTATACGAAACAAACCGAAGAATGGAGGTCCGTTATATAAAGGAGATCCGTGGCTAATAACTAAATTAGGAGTAAATCAACTATAACGGAGATCTAACGTTACACGGAATCACAACATGGAGAAATCTGCAGCTGTCATAATCTCAATAAGAATTAAAGCCATCCTATAGTACAATCTGTAAGGAAGGAGGTGAAGCTTAGTGGCAGGCAGCTTGCCCAGATATTCAACAGTACCACATTCTGCTAGGAACCCATTCAAAGATGGGAGATGGAGAAGCGATGAATCTGCTCGCCACTATAGTTTTTATTTCAAGTGGGATCAGTAGCACTATAGAAACTACTGAAAGGAATACGTCTCACATGAAAATAATTGGTGGGCTAACAGAACTGCAATGCAGTAACATTTCTAGTGATTTCTTGTATAGTGACAACTATGGCCTAGAATTACTGCATGCGATGAATTTCACATTAGTGAACGGGTTTGAATGTAGTACATCTACGCACAAAGGCACGTGAGGTCCAAATTGCTCGTAGCCCACTTAACATGGAATCTCTTAACACGCTTTAAAAAACATTTTTAAAGGTGAATGAAAACGAAGAACTCTGAGAGGAGCTCGCATCTAAACGATCGCGACCAAATTGATGACTCTAAAGAGAACCATAGAGACGTACCAAGAATATCGTCTGTCCACCCTGAAGAACTGAAAATTGCACATCATTGAGCCAGAATCCGCCACATCGAACATTGCCTTAGTTATGGTGACTCCTAAGAGGACATGGAAAAAACGATACAGAGAAGAATAAAATGGATACTCATTTAATGGGAAAGCGATAGATGGACGAGAAGAACAATCAAGTAAAACGAACAATGTGGAAAAAAACCTCACGGAAAACCACTATCTTGTCAGACCGAAGTAGGCGTCTTCCGTGTAATCCAGATACATATGTATGTACAATAAATACTTCCTTCCAGGTGTAGTACTTCTTGCTAAACCACTTGCAATAACGGTTGTCATGACGGATGACAGGTCTATGAGGAAGAACCACGAAAAGATTTCTTGAAATCCGAGGTATTTGTGAAAGTACGCCACCAACCTAATAGCGCTCGGTCATATATCCCTATCATCATAAAATCATGAATTGAGCTTAAGAATATCCAAATTATTTAATTTAGAATGCGTCCAAATGTATCACATGGCTATATCTCAGTAAAGTCAGTAAACAACGATATATTATGTAGGAGGAAACGAACATGAGGACAGCGGAGACTGAATGCTTTTGTTATTTATTACGACATTTGCGATGCCAGTACAAATCATGTCTCCACGAGTCCACAATCCTCCAAGGATTCCGAACACAACGCTCGGCAGAGTAATCCGAGTGATGGTCGTCACTCCAAAGTGCTCTATCCGCAGTGGTTCGTTATGAAAATCTGAGAAACGTATCTGCATGGTAAAACCTCAAGGCATACAAGAAGTCGATTTAACTAAGAGCGGCCGTATGGAGAGGCGCTTTGGTATATCTCCAGCTATTTTGTCTCTTAGGCGATAGCCCTTAGTTCATAGGCATAAAAAGGTCCGATATTAATACAAGTACTAAGACGTAGGTATAAAGACTCTGTATGTAACTATCAAAGGATTCTAGTATCCTAACTATTCAATGTCTTCTAAGCAGATCTGTTAATAACAGAACATAACAGGACGCTACTTAGACAAATTCACTAAAATCCGTATTGAATTCGTTCCAAAAAAAAAGCTCGGTGATATTTCAAACCGAACAGATATCGTACCTGCTCTGAATATCTCATTGCAGCCATCACATCTTGTCGCAAATGCTTGATCGTAGCAGTTTGAGCAAAAAATCCGATCGTTCTTACTTCCGAACGGCATATCCACTAAGGAGATTTTACACATATTACAAAGGAAGCAGTGCTCATGCCAGTGCTTATCCTTATAGGAGAGATCCTAAACGAGCAGTTATGAAACAAGATCTGAGAGCAAATTGAGCCGAGAAGAAAATCCTGAAACATCGAACAGTTATGCAAAAACTGGAAGAGACTGACTTGTAAAGACCACATTCTAACTTCTATAAATAACAGGGTTATGTCCATTATGCTGGAATACCTGACAATATCTAGCCTTCTGTATTTCTTGTGTTAACGAAGCCAATAAACGAACAAAATTGCCTTTGAATTATGATCAATTTTGGATGGCATTTTGTGTATGAGCCTTTGGGTAAAGGATAAAATCGTAGAGCTTCTGGCATTGATCAGTCCCTGAGAGTGGGTGCATTCGACCACAAAAATGAGGATGAATGCACATCTGGCCCATACAATAGCTAGCTCGTGCATACCAATGTATAAAGACAGTGTTGCTTTCCTTCCAGACAAGTCTGGTACCAACTAGCTTACCGCAGCGGGATTAAATGCTTGATGAGCCCAGCGACAAAGATCGAACCAACGATCGATCCGATATGTACTGCAGGGTGCGTTCAGTGACTGTGGTACGATACACGAGTCAATTCTTCAGGTAAACGAAGGAAAAATATGGTCGAGGCGTAGTGATCATGAATGATTTTCTCTACTGCCTTCCTGGAACCCGTAAGTGTTCTGTATGGGCGTCGGAGAGCGATCATCTTGGCCTTCCAGTTGGTGGTGGGCTTTATTAATGTTTATCAGATTCTACAGCTTCGGTCATAACTGTTGCTTTTCTCTCTTTAAGATCTTCTCTTGTTGCTTTTCTGCAGTTTTTTTTTCGCAAATTCGAACTTCAGCTGGCGGATGCCTGCTGTTCGTGTGATTCAACGTTGGCGTACCAGTTGAGTCTCTCCGAAGACAAACCTCTCCTGGTGACGTTTGAACTCTCGGCTTTCATAGGTATGACGTGAAGATGTTGAATAACCCGGCCATATTTCTCATCGATGTTATCAATAACGCATCTTCTCAAGGGTCGAATGAATAATGACCAGAATAAACACCAGTTTATGGTAGTTCTGTGATTTAGTTTTTTGAACTTAGTGGCTTTCTCTCCTCTCCACGAAAAATGGAATCTTCAACTGATGGTCTGACCCCATGCAGAATTCTGGGAGCACAGCGACATCGATCAGACAAAAGCTCTGATTTACTATGATACAGTGTATTTCGTTATTCTTCACTTCGAAATTCTCACTTCCATCGTTGTGAGCGGAGTTTCTAGAATTAAGTGCTACCATGAATGGCCTCGGTCGTTATGACGAGCTCGGACAGCCCTGAACGTTCCACTCTGTTCCGTGGGTGCCAATGTGGCATTTTTCAGACGCTCTTTTAGGTCCCATCATAGAGCTGCAATCTCCAGTTATGATCCTAGAAACTATATGGCATGGTAGTAACATTTTATCTGCTGCCTATTCTTTTTCCACGCGAAGATATGATATAGAATACAACAGCAATGATGCTGAGATATTTGTAAAACTTCGGACCACATCGTGCGGGTCCCTCGTTTTGCCTTTCTCTCAGCCGTGTTTGTATTGTAGTTACTGTTATTGTTAATGGCTTGGCCTTCTCTGTAGGATTTCTACAAAACCTGTAGATTTTTTTCTTCGTCATAGTTTGATGTAGGCGCGCACACGACGAAGACTGTCAAAGCAGGTGCTCATCAACTTCTCATCAACGTTCGATTCGACGGAAGCGTCTGATTGGGGTTGTTAGTTGTTCTGATGAATCGATGTTCATGGCCATACTTGTGTTGACGGGAACGCCGACGCGGCCGACTTCTCTGTCGTCGCATGTTCCGAGGAGGAAGAGTTCTTCGATGTTATAGACGGTTTTGATGGGCGGTTTCTCAGCCAGTCCGAAGACATCGTACCTTAATCCTCTCGCTTGCATGGTCAAGTGCTCTATCGAGAACTCAGATGCAAGTGAGCATGCATTATAGGTACATATTGTCACCACAGCCTTTTGCACTTTAGGCAGCCTAAAATAGTCCTGAGATTTTTGCAGCCTTCCCGTACTTTTCGCACATAATTCTGCCGTATCGAGGCTCTTTTGAAGTCAGAGGAATGAGATCCACTTTCTTTCACTGTATTTACCTTTCTTTTGATACTCGCGTATACCCTGCTGTGCTCTGAACGTGGGGGCTGGGTATATGTACGGGTAGCTTGCCACTCTCTTGCAGAATGGACATAGAGCTTATTTGTAGGAGGTGACTCCTAACCTCATCCCATATATTTCCGTCACTTGATTGCAGACTTCTGGCTGAAAGTTTTTTTTTGGCTGGCGAATGTTCGAAGCATTTTTCAGGCTTAGAGGCCGGTCCGGTGACAGCCGGTGGTGAAAGCACATCAGATACATCATAAAACATTGCTCACTTCTCAATACCTGTTTGGATTATTAAGCTAAAATGAGGTTGCTTGAAAAGATCATTCTTTACACTTGTCTGCTATTGAAGGCACTACTCTTGCATAACCCGAAAAAATATATCTCTGCATAAAATCTGGATGAAATAGCACCAATTTTCGTTTAGCGGAAAGAGGATACTGTAGCTTCTATACTTGTTACATTTATGAATGATAGAAGAACATCTAACGGGAAATGAACTCATCTACGACTCGCATTTCGATTTTAGGAATCTCAACAGCCGAGTTGTGAAAAAGTTCAATCCAATGATTGAAAACAAATGACGTCTTTAGTAGATTTAGCAGATTTTCACCAGTAGGTTTTCAAGCCCTAGCGCCCTTAACTATACCTTAAGTTCACTCGTTTTTTGGTAGAACTTGAAACACTTCTCTTTATATGTTATCCATAATCAATGACAGAAGTAGTGGATGGATTTCCAAGTGGGCTGCACCGTATTCAAAATTTTTAAACCTCTTTGAAAAGAAAACATAGCATAAATAACGGTAAAAACAAACAAAGTACTGTGTGAAATACAATCACAATGATGCTGAGATGTGATCAGAACTCGGAATCTCAGTTAGGTTTCAAACCCGCGATTTCCCTTTCCTAGTGCTCATGCTCTATCCACCATACCAATCGAGGCCTTTCCTTTGTCTTTCCCTCTGCGTATTTCAGAAGAGAGTAAAAAAACCATCAGCGTAAAAAAATGACTGAGAGAAAGGCAAAACAAAGACCTCAGTAGGTGTGGTGGATAGCAGGTAAGCCCTCGGAAAGGTAGCCGCGAGTTCGAAGCCTAGCTGAGGTTCCGAATTCTCCTCATAATTCATCGTCTTTTGTGATCAAAAGTCTTATGTTTAACTGAACAGATGCTACTAAAAAGATTCCATATTCTACCTTGGAATCGATCCCAATTGGTTTCGCACACTCATCGCATTGGTTTGCAAACACATCCTCGTAGCATTTAATACAATACGGCTGTTCGTCTCGCATTATGTACCTGGAAATCGATTTATGGATTGATAGCCTCATCACCGGACCCATCTAGGAGATCGATAATTTCTGGATGATATCGTACGAATGGCGTTTCCCAGATTTCTCTGCATTACTACGGTCGCAAAGCTTGGAACTTTGCATAGATTGACGTTAATTTAGTATTTTAGTTCCAATTCAATCATTAAATAAAATCATAACAAGTGAAAATCTCACATGAATACCGAAAATTAGTGTTCATTCACTAACCTCTGTCCGGTGAGTGTTTGATCACATTGCCAACAGCAAAAATGATCACTATGCCAATCCTTGTTCATCGCCTTCGTGTACTCGCCGGCAAAGATCAGCTGCAAACAAAAGCTGTTGATCAATTGATAATCGATTTTCGTTCAATGTAGAGACCTAAACTCCTTCACAGAACATCGTTTAATTTCGCTTTCATACGAAACAAGAGAAGATTCGCACGTAGAGCCGCCGAGTTTCAATCAGTCTCAAACTACACATCTATTTTGTACATTTAGGAAGTTAAGTACTTCATATTAACCAGAATGCATATATATTTTACACATTTTGGAAATTATACACGTTGCCTCCTTCAAAAATAATCAAGGGCTGGGATGATTCGGAAAAAGACGACCCAGTGCATTACACTGCAAAATGAGATCACCTGTATCACACCTGTAGTCCCGTTGATCGTCGAGTGATTCGAGCGGGCGTCAGTAAATCTTCCATTTTTCCTTGTCGCGTGTCGCGTGCAAGAGTGGTCCAGTAAGTTCTGCTCGCTTTAGGGACTCGTCGAGCATCATATCTTTCTTCAAGGCACTTTATTAAGAACTCTGACCATCGGGTCGGTGGTCTTCCTGCAGTACATTTGGCATCCCGAGGAATCCAGTCACTAACGGCTCTGGTCCACCAGTTGTCATTCATACGCATTATGTGTCTGGCCCACAGTATCTTCGACTGTTTGGCGTATAGAACGGCATCTCCGACTTTTGATCGTTGACGCAATCGAGGCTTCGGATCCCATCCCTTGCTTGTGTGGAACGGGATACACCTAGCATCGTCCTTCCGACTGCGCGTTCGATAACGCTGAGTGATCCTTCAACTTGCTTACGCAGCGACCAGGTTTCTGACGCATACGTTAGGGCAGGAAGTATCGTTGAGTCGAAGAGGTTGGCACGGAGTTGGATGTTCTTTTTTCTCTTCACTACATCCTCGATGCTCTTGAAAGCTCCCTAAGCCGCTCATTTTCTTCTGCTCAACTCTGGAGCTGGGTCGTTCATCATGTTGATTTCCCGATCTAGATATATATAACTGAGAGATATATATTCAGAGATATTCGTTCCGTTGAGCGTGAATGGGGCATGCGAAACCAATCCGTTTTTCATGAACATCGTTTTTGTGAGATTTAGTCGAAGACGAATCTTTCCACAGCCTTTATCAAAGTAGTCAAACATACGTTCCGCTTGGCTAATGTTTGGTGTTATGAGGACGATGTCATCAGCAAAGCGAAGATGGTGTAACTGTCGACCGTCGATTTTCACTCCCATATTATCCCATTCCAATGTTCACATGGCGTTCTGGAGGGTGGCGGTAAAGAATTTTGGCGAGATGGTATCGCCTTGTCTAACTCCTCTTTTGACGCCAACGTTAATATCGTTGTGGAATGGTGATATCTTGGTTGTGAAATTTTTCTACATCTCACGAAGAATCTTTATGTACTGAATAGGGACTCCTTGACTATCAAGGACTTCCCAGACTGCTTCTATCTCATCTGAATCAAAGGCCTTCTGTAAATCGATGAAAGTGAGACAGAGCGGTCTTTTGCACTCTCGCGATACTTCAATGAGCCGTGTTACCGTGTGGATGTGGTCCATCGTACTGAATCCTCTTCGAAACCCTGTTTGCTCACATGGCGGTCCTTCGTCTAGTGTTCTGTCAATCCTGTTTAGGATGACTCGAGTGAAAAGTTTGTAGACGACAGACAGTAAGCAGAATGGGTGATAGTTGCCGATGTTGTGCAGGTCACCCTTCTTGAACAATAACACGGTCTTGCTGGTCTTCCATTGAGAAGGAACCTTGAATTTAGACAGATGACGTGTGAAGAGCCTAGTCAGTGTGTTTACGAGGACTGGTGGAAGGTTCTACAGGTGTTTGGGTTTTATCCTGTCCATACCCGGTGCTGTTCGGTTTTTCACCGACGAAATGGCAAGTCGGATTTCGGAAGGGAGAGCCGATGGTACAACATATCTATCCTTCTTTATTTCATATGACGGAAGATGGACGTGGTTGTCGAAGAGATCCGAGTAGTATTCGTGAATGATTTTCTCCATTGCCTTTCTGGACGCTGTAACTGTTCCGTCTGGGCGCCGGAGTGCAATCATTTTGGTCTTGTATTTGGCGAAGCTTCGGTGGGCTTTGAGAATGCTTTTTCCAGCCTCTGTAGCTTCAACCATTACCGCTGCTCTTCTCTCTCTAAGATCTTTCATCGCCTCTCTGCATTGCTTTGCAAGTTCGGACGCTTGTTCGTGGTTGCCTACAACTCGTGCGATTCCACGCTGGCGTATCAGCTCCAATATTTTTGGAGACAGACGTCTCTTGGCGACTTTCGAACTCTGAGCTTTCATAGCGCTAGCGTGAAGATGTTGAATGAGCCGATCGTATTCTTCATCGATATTATCGACAACGGAATCTTCCCAACAGCTCACAAATATACACCCAACAGTCCCAGTTTGCGGTGGTTCTGAGACTTCCGTTTTGGAATTTGGTGGCTTTTTCTCCTTTCCGCAAGAAATAGAATCTTGCACGAAGGAGATGATGGTCTGATCCCGTGTAGAATTTTGGGACAACAGCGACATCGGTTAGGCAAAACCTTCTATTTACTATGATGTGGTCTATTTCGTTATGGCACTCTTCATTGGAAGACTCGCACGTCCAGCGCTGAGGGTGGGGCTTCAAGGTCATCATTGGAGATTTCAACGCCAAGATTGGACCAAGAAGAACGTCTGAAGAACCACAACGTTGCTGAGATATTTGCAAAACTCTGGACCGCAGGTGTCTATGTGATTTCAACTACAGTCGCAGCTTGACTGGGTTCTATGCCGATTTGGGCGCCACAGATCAATCCCGCTGACGGGTGATTGCTGTGGCAAAGATCGATAGAAATAGCTGAGAGACAGGCGAAACAAAGGACCCGTATGGTGTGGTGGTGAACGCGTTACTCCCCGGAAAGGACAACAGTGCGTGTTCGTTCCCCACCAGAGACACCTGCGGTCCAGAGTTTTGCAAATATCTCAGCAACGTTGTGGTTGTATTTCGCTTAGTACCCTGCCGCGAAATTATAGTAGGCAGAAAATAAAAAGATATAACGTCTGAAGAACGTCACATTGGGACCCACGGATTAGAATGGAACGAACAGGGTAAGCGGCTATACGAGTTTATCATGGCGACTAAGACAATCCATGGGAACTCGCAATTCCAGAAGAAGCAAAATGAGATAAAGTGAAGGAATATAAAAAAGACAAAGCTCTCGGCGTTGATCAATCCCTGAGGGACGCGCCATGCATTCGACTTCATTAAGCATTGTTTGGAGGTGATTGAATGCATATCTGGTCTTCATAATGGCTCGCGGAGGTCTACCGATGTATCGAGGCAGTGCTGCTATCCTCAAAGACAAATCTGGTACCACTTTGCCGACCCCGGAGGTATAGAAGGCTTGGTGTGCCATGGGCACGTGGATTGATTCCACATGTATGTTGCAGCGCGCCTCCGAATACTGCGCCACACGCGCCTTGGCAAAGGAATATAACTTTAAGAATTATGTTAATTGCAATTTCCAATGATGAATCAAGAACAAATAGTTCATGCCTGATGGTGGCAATGTACGTGTTATTCGATGAAGAATAAAAAAAAGAATATTAAAAGAGCATCTTCACATTGTTGACATGTTCACAAACAGAGCCTGACGAGTATTTAACACATTCGGGCCGACATGAGCTCCATAGGAGTCACAGGATGTAAAAATAATGGCTGCTTTAAACTTTAAACCAACATATGTTAGCTCATAGTTAACTTTTTTAGTTTCTGTAAAAACTATCAGAATCTGCAAATCATTGTCCATGCGATAAAAGGTCTATAATTTCGCCATGATGAAGCTTTGGTTTTCTGTTCTATAAGTCTCTTTTACAAATCTATAACGTGCTGAAATCCTAAGCATTTTTGAGAGTATGTTAAGTAGCTGAAAGACAGGCGAAACGAAGGAGCCGTATGGTGCAGCAGTGAACGCGTTAGCCCCCGGAAAGTGTGATAGCGCGTTCGTTCCTCCACCGAAGATACCCGCGGTCCGGAATTTTGCAAATATCTCAACATCATTGTGGTTGTAATATGCTAAGCATCGATTATGAATTTGAAATTAGCGAATAGCGAATCGTGGGAATTAATGGATAGCGTCAACGGCGCTATGATGATGTCGACATGATCGAAGCCTCTTCTGAAGGACAAATAGTACGATTTTTGCTATTAACTTGGGCCAAATACAGTTCAGGACATTTCGGAAAACACTACTCAAATTGTATTCCATGTAGATGCACTTGCATACTTGCAGAAACCTTGCAAATTATCTCATTCGTGCCTTCCCAAAGGAAAAAAACTAAAAAGTTTATAGAATCGATTCCGCCAATAATATAACGAATTCACGGCCACAACAAACTCATACAAGACCTAAAATAATTTGACCTTTCAGATTAAAATCAACATAGGGCATTACCTATTACAATCGTCCTGATAGCTGATTCACTCAACTCGTCAAAGGAAAGTCTCAATTTGTGCCTGTAGCGTACATAGCCTAGCGAGTTTCAGTTGCATTATTAATTTGAAAAGTAACATATTTTGTACTAGAACATTGGTGACAAAGTGACAAAATGACAAAGTACCGAGTCGGTGGTCTTCGTGGTTTGCGCTTGACATCCCTAGAGACCCACTCGCTAGCGCCTCCTGCTCTCATCAGTTTCCATTAAAATGTATCCAGTTCATCAGATTCATGGATCCTGACATACATAGCAGCTTCTCCGAGTTTTGGTCGTCTATGTAGCTCAGAATTTAATGAGTGACACACGGGAACGTGTCGTTTTCTTGTTCAACAATCGCGAGGTTTTTAAACAGCATACAATCGCAATCGAGTCTTTAATTCTGCTTTCGTATATCCAAGCTTCCAAGACGAACGTTAAGATGAAGTCGTTGTCCAAGCAATGGGCATTGCGGCAGTTGTTCTGTCGTCTTCACTGCATCCTCCAAAACTGGTGAAACAGACTTTACATTA